ATGCATCTCCACAGCCATAAGGAATATATCAACGTAGAAAAATAAAGCATCTAGCAATATTTAGAATGTGCCATTTCATATGTCTGTTTATCTGTACAAAAAGTGGCTGTTTTGCTGTTGAGATTTGGATTTTGGGGTTGAGCCCTGTCTTCAAGTCAGGCGCTAGCGAACAAACCAGGGGGGGATTGTATGTAAGGTACCTACACTGTATAAATTGTCTATTAATGTAGTACAGATCACAACACAGCGGCGGATCCAGTACCACGTGAGTACTTATAAGTACCTATTCATGCAGTCCCTAGCGAAGCCCGCAGTTCCACTCCCGCTAACGTTAGATCCCGCACTCCACGGCAGTGCGCTTCCCCAGCTCCAGAGTGTCGGGTCCCTATGACAGCATTTCACAACAGCATGTAGGAAGGAGAGACCTCAGTTATTAAATGAATTTTCGCCACTCAAGGTCAATATAACATTCAGTTTCATTACACTTCAAGCCTACTAACCGATCTCCTCCGTTATCCCAACACTGATATATTCACCCAGATATCCAACAGACCACAAAATCCGTGACATCTCCTACCCTTACTGAATCTCATCTCAAGTGAATATCATCCATCACATTCGACTCACCTCATAATGGCACGCTCCTCTCCGCCACTCACAAGCCCAATCGCGACCTCCAACGCAGCATCCGCATCAAACCCAGACCCAGACTCACACAAAGACAACGACAGAGAAACAGAAGAAGACCTCTACAGCAGACCGCGACCCCGCCCTCCACGCTCGCCAGGCCACGCGGCGCGGGTCCGCGCGCAGAACCGGCGCAGGGCGTACCTGGACCGCAACCCGGGCTATTACTATTCCTCCACTGTCACCACCACCACCACCACCACCACCACCACAGCCTCCGGCTCATCATCTTCAGAGACGGGAGGTATGCAAAAGTACAAGTACAAGCACGAGCACGAGCTGGCCGATCCGCTGCTGTACGACGTGCTGGTACGGCGCTTCCAGACCCCCGCCGAGCGCGAGGCCGAGGCCCGTGCCAAGGGGTATGCCGCTGTGCTGGAGGGGTCGTTGCGCAGGAGGGAGGAGAGGGAGGAGCGCGCAAGGATTGCTGGGGTGGATCTTGATGGTGATGATGAGGATGAGGAGGGGGATGGGGATGGTAATGGGGAGGGAGGGGTAAAAGCTTCTGCTTCTGCAGCTCCTACTAGCACTACGAGTAATGGTGCACTCGAAGCGGGGATCAACAACACCGCCTCCTTCAGCAGCCTCTCGGCGGAGCTGCTTCCGCCGCCCAAGACGAGGGAGGAGGGGCGGCTGCGGTGGGAGGAGTTTCTGCGCGACCGGTTTGTCAGGGGGGAGGATGACGAGTTTGACTATTCGAGGGTGGACGAGAACGATGAGTATGATGTGCTAGAGCGACGAGACGAGGAGGAGGCGTGGTTTGATGAAGAAGATCCCGGGTGGGCTACCGATGATAGCAGTGGTGCTGGTAGTGAGCATCAAGGGGCGGCGAAGGCAAGGACCGACAAAATGCTCCAGGGGGAGACGGGGATACAGGATTTCTGATGGCCCAAGTCCTGTTGAGTGGACTGAACCCCGACTTGGTTGGTTGCTGAATAGGTATTGTATTCTACTTTCCCTCTCAGACGCCTATCTGAAGATGCTCGTTCCGAAACATGGATGTTCCAGCAAAATTCTGTATGTTCCCGCTCTCTCTCCTGCTCCAAGATTTCAGCTGACAAGACTAAAAGCCAGCGATGTAGGCGTTGCCCAGCCTTGAGGTCGGTCGATCAACAGAACAAAACCATGCCGTCCTTCGGGGCGTGCTTTGCTGGTTCCCACCTCTTGAACCTCCTACATATCGTGCAGACTGCAGAGAGACGTTCAAATACATAAAAGTGTAAGTGCCTTGGAGCATCATAACACACTCTCCCTATAATACTCCTCCAACAGCGGCAGATGCGCAGGGTGCACCCGACCAATCTTCATGATGGGCAGCCCATCCTCGACGGTGTAAATCCTCCCGCAGTCCAGCCTCGCAAAGGGCGAAATATACTGCTCCTCGTCCTCAATGATCACGGCAATGGGCTTGCGCGTGATCCTCTCCTCGTCGTCGGGCTGGGCGGGCTTGATGGCGGCCGAGTACAGGACCACATAGTCCATGGGCCGGCCGCGCGAGGTGGCTGCCGACCCCTTACCGCCAAACGTAGTAATGCTGAAGCAGAGGGTGTGGTGGAGCCGCCTGCGGACCACGACGAACCAGCGGTATTTTGAGACGGCGTTTCCGCTGCTGGGCTCGGGACACTTGTTCGACCACTGCTCGAAATCAGGAGACTGAGACTGCTGCTGCCGGTTGGGCATGTCGCTGCTCGGGGTCACTGGCACGCGTGGCTCGAACCATACCGCTTTGAAGATGCGGCCGACGCAGAAGAAGCGCTTCGGCCGGGCCACGACTTGGAATCCTGGGTGGCAGTGGTTAGCATGGGAGGTTTGAAGGGGGAAGCAAACATAAGAACGGCCCATCCATACCTTCACCACCCCCTGGAGATCCAGGGCCAGCCCCTGGTTTTTGATAATCCGTATAATACTGTTTCACGCCGTCTTTAGGCACGCATAACCCGGTTAGCCTTTGGATTGCAAATGCATTCCAGACATGCGCTGATACATACCCTCTCCGATTCGGACGTAGTCGCGGGTGCCAGGGTCCCACTCCCACTTGGCCCCATACTCCTGGGAGGGCTCGGGTTGGCGGTGCTCCTGGGTCACAGGGGGTGAAGCCGTTTGGGTGTCGACCTTGATATCGATGGATGTGGGAGAAGCAGCTGTCTCCCGGACGGTTTGAGCTTCCTGGAGTCTGCTTGGTGTTGGTGAGGTCCCTACCGGCGGCACATGTCAGTCTATGACCTCTTGACCAGCTGTTTTCACTGCCTGGTGACATACCCGGATATTGGATATGTAGAGGTTCACCAGGTGAACCGTGACGACCTGGCACCAGTAGTCCCTCAATGGCAGTCATTGTCACGGAGACGTGGTTGAACGTAGGCGGCGTCAAAGCTGACGTATCGCCCGTCTGGCTCTGGATGGGGGCGGTGAGCCCTATATAAGTCCGGACCACAGCACAGACGTGGCTCTCTCGGTCGTGGTAATTCACAAGGAATCCGAAGGCGTCAAACTGAAGATAACTGTGGCATGCAGACGCCCTGGCGTCTCGGATGGCCCGAGGGCGCAGTGCTGGCTTCCACGCGGGGCTCGCTGGCAGGGAGGTTTTCAAGGTGCGTCTGATGTGATTGTGATAGATTATGTATGGGGATGAAGTGCTGTTATGCCAGACCCGAATTCCATGCTTCTCCAGTCTCGACAACCATCTCCAGAACAGTCCCGTCTGGGTGGTGTGAATGGAGCATGGCAAACCTGAATGATGGCATATGACTGACTGAGTTAATAAAGTAAGAGAGAGAAATATCTCAAATGCTAGTAGCTACCTTGCCTACGATGATTCTTCATTCAGCGGTAGCGTGGCTGTGCAGCCTCGTTCCCGCCATTTCCGCTGCCCAACATCTAAGGCACACCACACATACTTACAAAGTGCACCGAAGCCCGAGCGGTCAAGGCCATGGTCCTGTACAACCCCTCCGGCCCTTATCCGGTCTTGCTTCGGAGAGTGTTGATGTCTTGGCTGTATCAAACACCTCATTGGTTCGGTGACAAAATCAGCTCAAAAAAGGCGGCTTTGGATGGCGACGGGTAGGCACACCTGGGTTTTGGATGTTTTAGTCGAATAAATTCCAAATTCCGCTTAAGGAATTACTGTCAATGGGAAAATCCAAACCACACAAATTCCATCTGCTGCGATAGTCATGCTGTCTGTAGCGGTGTATGTATTTTCGTAGTGACAGCTAGAAAGTCTGTCAAGCAAAGTCAGGACAAACTGGCTGTCTGTCTCGGCACTTCTGCAGAAATGGGCTTGGATAGCGCTGCCCAATCTCAGCTTGTGAGCCACCGGCGCTTGTTATGCATGATTAGCCCCCGGGCGTTATTATGACTTGCCTCCCAGCCCGAAATTCCATTTAGAACCCATGGGAATGCCCTCATCCGATCCAGCGTATACACTAATGAGCTTCTTCTCTCGGGTCCGGCTCGGTGTCGTAGCCGTATGCTTCAATTAAAGCGCCTCGAGTTCCATATTCCGGTTTTAGTTGAGGCTCACTGCGGTTGGCGAGGCTGAGATTGAGCCATGTTCTACTGTATAGTTGACGAGCCCGCCCTTCTCCATGACCGAGAGCATATCCACCAAGATCATATACCATAATAGCAGTAAGAAACAGAGTCATCGCATACCGAGACGTGGGTATAGACATCATTACCCGCCACAGCCTTACTCCTCAGCCCTGATATATCCAGATTAGGCAATAACACAAGCAGGGAAGAAACAAAGAAAGGGGGAAGGTGGATATGTGGCCTCTTCGACACGGCCATTTAGTGACCCCTGAAGCCAGGCGACATCTGACCTCCCGCAACCTCTTGCGGCTCGCGGTCGGCGCTCATTTCGGGTACGGGTATATGGGCAGACTGCGAGGGGTAAAAGCCCTGCTGTTGGGGCTGCTGCTGATACTGTTGATAGCCATATCCTCCTTCTCCCGGTGGCGGTGAATAATGCTGCCCATGAGGATCCATCTGCTGTTGCGGAGCGGCATAGTACTGATGCTGCTGCTGCGGCTGCTGTTGTGGCTGCTGTTGTTGCGGAGCGGCATAGTACTGCTGGTACTGGTGCTGCTGGTGCTGGTGCTGCTGCGGCTGCTGGTAGCCATACTGCGAGTACGGATGCTGGCCCTCGTCGGCCTCGGCGATCGGAGCCGGGTAGGCTTGCCCATTACCTCCCCCCACGGCAGAGTAGCCCGCTTGTTGGACGTTGTGCCCGAGGCCCTGGCCGCTTTGAGAGCTCAGCTCGCTTGCGCCGCCGCCAGAAGTGCCCGTGTGCTGGGGGGCCAAGGGGGATGTTGTGCCCATGGTTGATGGCATGGACGATACCCCACTTGTGCGATCAGACGACGTTGGCATGTTGTGTGCTACCATGCCCGGTTGCTGGTAAACACCAGGGTAGTACTGGCCGCTTGGATACTGTCCGTTGGGTACGGCGGCTTGCTGCATCGCTGGCGGTTGCGGGAAGGCCGTCTGCTGCTGGGGAAGCTGGCCCGGGGGAACTGTCTGTTGGGCCTGCACAAGCTTTTTGTGCTTGCGGCGGTATCGCCACAAGCCGATGGCGAGGCCGATAATGATAATTGCAGCAATGCCAGCTCCGGCACCGATGCCTGCCTTGGCGGCGGTAGAAAGTCCGCCGCTTCCTTGGTCGTTCAGAGGGTAGCGCATTGACCAGACGATATTCACGACAGCTGATGTGGGTTTGCCTGTCTTGGTATCATCTTTTGCGACTGTCAAAGTGGGCACATCGATATCAGTGGTCACGGAGCTGTAGCAAGGTGTTTGTCCGCCGACAGCGCTCGTAAAGGGCCAGAATCCGCTGCTCAATGTCAGCACCCGGCAACTTGAATGGCGTGGTGGGAGGTTACATACTTCGGGCAGCACCCGCCAGAAATGGAGTAGTAGTCATCAGCACAGCGGTCCGCTTTGGCTAGGTCCAGGTTGGTGGGCATAGGGAAATCGAAGCCAAGTACGTTGTTATCAGCGGCACCGGGCGAACCAGTACTAGCTTGTGCACTCGCGGTGCTTGTAGCCACGGGCCAGGGACAGCATTCTGGCCTGTCATTGATACACCCCATGAATCCGGCAAAGTACATGGTGTTTCCGGCGTCGACACGGGTGAACTCCGTTTGGGCACAATTGCCTGCAAGCAAGGAGCCTGACCCCTTGTAGCTCGGCTCGCCATCATAACTCGGTCGCGAGAGCTCACCAACTGTCACCGCAGTGACGGGCCTAGATGCGGTCAATCATAGCCGTAGATTCGAAATCGGGTTCTGGTAGCCTACTCAAAATCCAGTGACACACTCGTTCTGCGCCGCGATGTCAGTTTCTGTCCGGAGCAAGCACAACAAGGGTTCAACTCACGGTGGCTGGATTTGCGCCATTATGCTAGGTGGAATGCTTCCACAGAACTCAGTGTAGTATGACCTCTGATAGTCACCCCAGTCTGGCCACTGCCGTCAGCAGCAGTCCGGCTTCCCTTGGCAGCGGGTATGGGTCATGCCTGTGATGCCGTAGTAGCTGGCACAACTCCCGGTAGCGACAGCGCTGAAGTAGCAGTCAAGATAGGAGATGCCGTAGGAGCAGAGGCAAGCTGTTGCTTGTGCGTCATAGTCGGCCCCTCCACCGACACTGAATGAGCAGCTCTCAATGATGGTGGTGCACTGTAGGCCATTGTTGATGCCTTGGGTCTAGAAACGACTGCCCGTCAGAATGGCGGCGCTTGCTAACCCCAAAGTCCACTGAGACTTTAACGTACGAGACAAGCATCATTGACGTTGAGACTTCCAAAATCTGTCTGTCGCGGGTGAAGGTTGATGTAGGCGCTGGCCAATGCTGGCGCTGGCGTCGGCGACGGAGGAGCGGATGCTGGTGTTAGCAACATGGCGGCGGCTTGAGGAAGCAAGCTCGTCGATGTCGCTTGGCAAGGGAGACGACGAGATTAACTTATCAAGAAGAGAGAGGGGAAGGCAAGCAATGGCAACCCGCCAGCCTTGTGAGTATCAACACTACACACACAGGCCATGTCCTGGACTCCTTGGCGCGCCGCCACGCGGTTACAACGCCCGATTTCATCTTTGTGTCCTAGCCTGGTACCATCGCGTAGTCTCGAACCCTTTGATACCCGCTTTGATACTGCAGCGACAAGGGTCAGGACGCCCAATGACTTTCTTGGCCAAGCGAGTTTATTGCACATGGTGGCGCTGTGATCGAGAGCTGATAGGCGTGCCATATCTGGGGCTGAGGCGTGCACCCACCAGCAGGCGGGGATGCGGCAGGGTTTGGCGAGTCGGGTCATCTTCATCCCCGTGAATATGAAGTCGGCGGGTGCCGCCCCTTCGTTTAGGCCCCGCTCCAACGGAACCACGGTGTTTAGTTATAACTTTAAGTTGAGAACCGGAATCAAGGAGATATTGAGATGTCCCGAAACGCCATGTCTTCGCTTAGAAGCACCATCAGGAAGTCAGTAACTGAGGCCATTTTCGCCATAAGTTTATTTTCCCTCAGAAAACAAGCAGCTGGCGCGCCGTGCCCCCTTTTCGATTGCGCCCTGACGCTATGTGCTCATGCAGGTGGTTGTTCAGCTCAATGTATGACCAGTATGCGTAGTGTAACCTTGAAGGGAGATGAGATTCGGAAAGCTTAATAAGTCGAGCGTGAACGGAAGTTGGAGTTGCAAATGCGTCAACCCAGCCTGTCTCGAGCTTGTGTTGCCTAGTATGGGATTTTACCGTAATGCAAAACCACGTATTGTACAGTACCGCAGCCCCACCCCCGCTACGGCGCAAATTTCCTGAGCCAGAGCCCCTCCGTAATTCTGTACAGATTCTTTACATGTGGAACACTTCCCTCCACTTCGCAACATCCAACTTGCACTCTAATAATCCCCCCACACTAGCAGTTGGAAAGGAAATCCTTCCACAGCGGTTCTCAGATCCCAAGCCAAGGTGGAAATGGGACGATCAATGTTACGGGTACTCCGTAGCTTAGGAAGCGCCATTCAACATGGAAGCCCAAATGTGTCAAGAGCAGCCCAAACACCACTGCAGACAATTCTCGTCACTCACCGGCCCCTCAACCCGAAACCTCTCAGGATCACAGACATGACAACGGCACAGGCTCCGCTGAGCCGCCAAGTCCCATAGTCGGGATGCTGGCCGGACGGTTAAATGGGGATAAATAGGAAGTGGACTGGGCCCGCCCTCCTTTCCGACATCCACGCGCCCGGCTCGGCCCAGCACAACGGGGCAGTTGGGGAAGGGAAAAGATGCCACGAGCATCCAAGCGACAGACTATGATATCGGGGTCCTCTTCTAGGTATATATCTGAGGTAGTTCCTCTGCTGCCGTCGCATTCTCGTTGACCTTCGCAGACTTCATCCATATTTCATCGCCGTTGAACCAGCTCGTGCTTTCCCCGCATTTGCTCCTCCATCTTAACCCCGCATACTCGTCGACTCCCCACCCCACCATATTACCCCAACTCCAACAAAAAGGTCACCACCACCATGGCCCCTCTCATCACGCACCTCTACACAGCCGACCCCTCTGCCCACGTCTTCGAGGGCAAGATCTACATCTACCCGTCGCACGACCGCGAGACGGACATCCAGTTCAACGACAATGGCGACCAGTACGACATGGCCGACTACCACGTCTTCAGTACCGAGTCGCTGGACCCGCCCGCGCCCGTAGTCGACCACGGCGTCGTGCTCAAGACCGAAGACATTCCCTGGGTGTCCAAGCAGCTGTGGGCCCCCGACGCCGCCCACAAGAACGGCAAGTACTACCTGTACTTCCCCGCCCGCGACAAGCAGGGCATCTTCCGCATCGGTGTGGCCGTCGGCGACCGGCCCGAGGGTCCCTTTACCCCTGACCCGGAGCCCATTAAGGGCAGCTACAGCATCGATCCCGCGACCTTTGTCGACGACGACGGCGAGGCCTACATGTACTTTGGCGGCCTGTGGGGTGGGCAGCTGCAGTGCTACCAGAAAGGCAACGACGTGTTCGACGCCGCGTGGCAGGGCCCCCAGGAGCCCAAGGGCGACGGGGCGTGCGCTCTGGGGCCTCGGGTGGCGCGGCTGACGGACGACATGCGCCAGTTCGCTGAGGAGGTGCGGGAGATTGTGATCCTGGCGCCCGAGACGGGCAAGCCGCTTGCGGCCGACGACCACGACCGGCGCTTCTTCGAGGCCGCCTGGATGCACAAGCGCAACGGCACCTACTACTTTAGCTACTCGACCGGCGACACGCACTACCTGTGCTACGCGACTGGTTCGAGCCCCTACGGGCCCTTCACCTACGGCGGCCGCATCCTCGAGCCCGTGCTGGGCTGGACAACGCACCACTCGATCGTCGAGTTCCAGGGCCGCTGGTGGCTGTTCCACCACGACTGCGAGCTGAGCAAGGGCGTCGACCATCTGCGGTCCGTCAAGGTCAAGGAGATCTTTTACGATGCCGAGGGCAAGATCGTATCAGAAAAGCCTTGATAGTAAAAAGGCAAATGTAATATCCTAGCTTCTCCAATGTAAACAAGCCAAAAAATGAGGTATCCTGTTCTGATATAATACTCCCTTGACATGCCCAATATCCGTCTCAATATGCATCACAACATGTAGAAAATCGCCCGCCCCCTATCCCTCTATAAAACATCACGACCCGCCCATGACCCCAACCATCAGCCGGTCCAACGCGGCCTCGTATTTCCCAGGGCTATGATCCGTCAACATGCTCACGCCAAACCTCACCTCCGCAAACCGCCTCTCCACATTCCTCACATACTTGAGAACAATCCTAGTAGCTGGCCTCCCAAAGTGATGGTCTCCCCCCGCCGCCGATACAAAAGCATCCCGCCTCAGAACCCCCTGGCTCTCAACCAGAAAAACCTCTCCAGGAGGGACAAGCTTCTCGTTCAGCATGCTCGACCTGAGCACTTTAAGAGCCGCATACGCCCAGTAATCACTCTCGCTCCCTTTTTCTCCCCTCGCTGCCGGCGGCGGCTTCGCAAACGGGTATGCGTCGGTGCCCCTCCACGCGCCTTCAATGCCCCCGCGCAGGGCGCCCCAGACACGCTGGCGCAGATCGGTCTTGGCGGCCGAATTGTCCGTCTTGAGGGCGAGCGCGACAGCCTGGAAGTCATGCAGCACGCCCAGGGAGAGGTAGGGCACGAGGTCGTTGCCGTAGACGACGGTCGTGACGAGCCCCCGCGTGGACGCGCTCAGCGAGGGGCACATTGTTGACGGCGGCCCGTAGGCGTACACGTGGATTGGTCTGCCTGGCGGCAGGCATACGTGCGGTGGTGGTGGCGCGGGGCCAGTGGAGGAATTTGTTGCGGGGAGGAGTCTGGCATGGGGATCCGAGGATGACGTGACGAAGAACGAGGCGGGAGTTCCTGGAAGAGGGGCCGGGTCGGAGAGCATAACGCCTAGAAGAGAGGTAACCGCTCCGCCGAGGGAATGGCCTGTTAAGATTAGGCCATAATCGGGAAATTCCTCCAGGGCGGTCTTGAGAATGTAGAGGACCCTGCCGTCGCCGCCGTACAGGAGACGCTTCGCCGAAGCGTGGACGCCCTTATGGACTTTGTACGACCTCCCTCTCCAGACTAATTCGTCATATTCGCATGTCATGTCCGTCAGAACGTCCTCGAAGCCGAGGGTGCCGCGGCACGTGAGCACGACCGCCTTGGACTCGTGATCCAGAGAGACGTAATGCACGAGTGGCACGCCGGTGTTGGTCGAACCGCTGCCGTCTGAACCGCCCTGGGGATCTATGAAAGACGACAAGAGTATGCTGCTGGGGTCTGACCTTGTGTGATGGGCGAATGACCGCAGCTCATGATGTGTGTCGTCCGAAAGACCAGGGATCGGCATCTCAGTAGCAATCCCGAGTACTTTGAGAAACTTGGACCCATACGAGGCCGAGGCAAACCGCATGTAGCGTGTAATGTTGCGCAATAGGTGGTATCTAGGAAACATGCCATCTACCACTCCTGCCTGCCTGAGCGTTCCCAGAGCCTCGCCGCCAGAAAATGCACTCCCGCCACCAGGGTGGTATGGGACCAGAGATGTCTCCGACGCGTTCGCCTTCAGCGTATAAATGCTGGGGGTGTACCCTTTGGAGTTCAGCCGGCGGTGGGTTCTCTCCGGAGCGTAGTGCTGAATGGGAAGATGAGTCTCCGAGGTGACTTTCTTCATGACTGGACCGCTCATTGCAGCCTCGCCGAATACCGAGACGTGTCGATGTTCGCCGGAAGATGTAAGCGAATATGTCTCAGTCAAAGAGACCGTCGATTCGCGGCGACTCTCATGTACCGAGAAGAAACTCGCGGTGGAAGGAGTCCGTCTGAGCGGTCTTCGAACCACATCAGACGTTCCCTGAACCGGGGAAGGCGGGCCACTTTTTGCTATCAATGATGGCTGCTGGATGCTGACAAAAGGACTGTGCAGTCCGTCCTGAGTTGCTGTGCTGGCCCTGCCTGTTGGCGGGCTAGCCGCTGAACGCTTGATTCCTTTCTTGCTGATGGCCATGTCCAGGATAGAATCGTCCTTGTGGAATATGGACATTGGCTTCTTTAGAACCCCTCGAAACCCGCTTTTCTTTTCCGAGAGCTTATAACCGGCATCAGTCTCGTTTTTGCTTCTAGATGGTAGCGAATTACTGCCCAGCTGCGTGTCGGGTGATGGAATCGATCGAATCCTAGGTGCTGTCGAAGAATTGGCCAGAACTGAACGGGAGCGTTTCTGGTTGGCGAGGTTATTACAAGCAGGCTGATGGGCAACTGGGCCGTCTGACGCCGGAGTGAGCGGCATCAGGGGAGCAGAAGCCCCCATGGCAGACCGGCTGGGCTGGAAGGGATGCAATTCTTCATGATCCATGGAATGTCGAGGTGAGTTAGCAATCAGATCCTCGCGTTCACTGCCGCTTCCGGTACCTGGGCTTTCCAAGAACTCGGTCTCCGCCTTGATGGGGCTGACGTCGCCGTCGACCCTTTGAAATGAAGCCTTTGTTTCCTGACGGCGATTACGCCGGAAAACAAGACGGGAGCGCGGAGCAGTGCTGCTGTGGTTATCCTCCGGCCTTGCCTGCACTTGACGTCCTGGCTGACGATCCACCCAGCTCTCCTCAATCAACTCAAGTCCAGGTGGCGGCTCAACTTTGACATGGGGTGCGTCGCCGGTTATCTCGACAGTGATTATCTCCGACGTGGATACTTCCCTAGTTATTGATACCTGAGCATTGTCTGGCAAGGACCTCATGATTTCCCGCTGGAGTTGCAATGTTGGTGCATCAACCCCGTCTTGGCTATCGTTTTGTACTTCGACACTCGGTATTGCAGGAGCGATCGCTTCCGCAGATCTGTATTGAAGCGCTTGAGTTCTCTCTGGTTGGCGTGTCGCGTTATAACCGTCGTTGTGAATATCGACACGCACGCCATCTGAGAGGACAACCACATCCCATACCGTCTCCTCAACGCGTAAAGCACGAATGTCGTCTTCTAGCAATGAGTGGCACGACCTCTGGAGGTATGCCATGCTGCACAACCCGATTACCAAATCAAGGACACCGACTGTCTCTCCTTGGACACCCGTAGCCGGGTTCTCGAATTCTCGGCGAATCATGGCGACAATGCTTGCCATGGCGCGGGAGGAGTCGGTCGACCCAAAGAACTGATCCAGCATCGAGAGAACCACCTGGGACATGTCGGAAAACACGGACAGCGTTGTACTTGTCAAATTAAAGCCGGTCGCAGTCCAGAACACGATATGCCCCATAGCACGGTGTAGCGTCGACACAGCCGTCTCGAGGATGGTTTCTGCGTCTTGCCTCGCAATGTCCGAGTCAGCACGGGACACGGCATCTCTGCCGGCCCTGCTCAGGATGCCCTCTAGTACTGTACGACCCAACTCAAAGCTTGACAATGTCGTGAATTTGGCGGCGTCTAACCCATAACAACCTATCGCGCTGCCCATGCGAATGGCGAGACCAGTCGATCGTGTCGCGAAGCTGATGGCTCTAGCTACTGGCGAGGGAAGCAGCGTGTCGTTGTCGTTCGAGACTGGTCCAGTCATGTCCTCTAGTTCGGTTCTAGCATCGTGTCCGGGAATGACTGCGAGTTCTGAGCCTTCGGCACCCGAGGCGGTATCGGACGCGCCAGCGCCTGTCGTCGATACCATGTCGTAAGAACTGCGCCGGTTGTTGATCTGGGCCTCGGAATGTCATCCTGGAGCCATGAGCGGAACAGGCGACCTTGGTGAATGATAGGTTTGTCATTGAAAATAACGAGCCATCCAAAATGTAATAGAAGTGGCGGTAACCATCGAAGTAGCAGGGTTGGCTGGCTTCCAAGTTTCCATGATGCATGCGCAAAGTCCATTCATGCGTTCCCCTGTCTTTGAGTCGTCACTATTTTTCTGGGTCGTCCCTGGCATGTGATGGAAAAAGGTCATCTGTCTTCTTGCTGTGGGGCAAGCTCCCCGCCATGTGCGGACCAGACCTTCCAGCTCCGCATAACCAGTACAAAAATATCCCTTTTCCCCGATTCAAGATTCTTTATTGATCTGGTGCTCTCTTTATTACCGTAACGTTAGACTCAAAATGAGGACAAAGCATGAGGGCGTTTTGGTCAGATCTAATCCCCAAGGCTGGCTTGGGCGGTTGCCGGGGTAACCACCTAAGCTGGACCTTCCCAAAATGCTGCGATTCAACGTTATCGCCAGCCCCTACCTTACAGAGAACCTGTCACTGTCGATGGTCGGGACGTCAAAACCTTTTCTGCTGCTACATGTGTAGTCGCTTTATTAGCCTATAATACCTACAGCGCAGTGCATACAGGTCGTGTCGGTTGGTGCCCGCTTTAATTAGTGCACCACGTCAGCGGCCAAACAGGGCTGACCTTCCATCGGATTTCCCCTGAGCGGGCGCGGGGGTTTAGATCCGTGTGGAGACCAGACGCTCAGCCCCGCCTTCGGACTGAACACCTTACAGATCTCTAGCTCAATCCGAACACACTCGTATTCCATTTGTTGATGGTGGATCATCTCAGCTGGCGCGTTACCTACATCCAGAGGCTTCTTGGACAATTGCTATATACAACAATTGAAGGATCTCTCGGTATCCGACCTCCTTCGTTGGCGCGATAGATTCAATTGATCGAGCACCCAGTACAACACCGCCAGCCATCTCCGACGAACCGTCCCTTCAATGGCTGAAGAGGGCCTTTTCCCCGCCAATCTCCTCTCTCCAGAGGTGCAATCGGTACTACCCGAGGGCTACAAGCTACGGGCGCTCCGGCGCAGCGACTTCGATACGGGCTTCCTCGACTGCCTGCGTGTGCTGACGACGGTGGGCGAGATTGGGAAAGAACAGTTCGAGGAGCGCTACGAGTGGCTGGCAAAGCAGGGCGACAGCTACTTCATTCTCGTCATTGAGGATACCAATGCTAGCCCGCCTAGGGTTGTCGGCACTGGCGCACTGCTTGTTGAGCGCAAATTGTAAGAAGCCTCCTCCACCCCCCGACCGTTTCACAGGAGTGCTTCAGTCTCTGACCCCCGGATCAACCTTCAGCATCCACAATCTCGGGTCAGTTGGCCACATCGAAGACATCGCTGTTGCCAAGGATCAGCAGGGCAAGAAGCTGGGACTGCGCATCATAGAGGCGCTCGACTATATCGCTTCGCAGACCGGTTGCTACAAAACGATCCTTGACTGCAGCGAACACAACGAAGGCTTTTATGTCAAGTGCGGTTTCAGGAGAGTAGGCCTAGAGATGGCGCACTACCACGAAGGCCCCAAGAGTAACAACACCCAATAGCTTTGTTTTGGGTGCTCGGTATCTGCAGACCACGGGACTGACTGCCTTTGACCGGTTCGTCGCCTGCTGCAGAAAATGAAAGGGCCAACCTCTGAGAGACGCCCTCCATCACACTGGCGGCCTACATGGAGTACCGACGGCGCTCTCTGCAGGCCGACCAATAGCTTCATACACACACATACCGGCAATTGGGACCGATGCTACCATACATACCCCAGGCGGGGTTTTCGCTTGGCAACCTAGCCTTCACATGCGGACAGCGAGCTTTTCTGCGCGTTACCGGCAGGTGCCTTTGAGAGACGTCATTGGCATATATATCATGATTGGCAAAGATAGACTTAGACCAGCGCGATTTTCACCTTCATAATGATCACTTAGTTACCTGATGGCATGCGGCGCGCCTATACACCCTTCGGGACGCCGTCGGCAATGTCGTCGCAGCTAGGGTCGCTTTCTGGGCCTGTTGTGGCACCATGCTGACATGCTTAGCATGTGATTTCTCCGAGTAACTACAAGGCTTCCGTGGCTGCTAATGGTTGGCCGACAGGTGATATTTGTCGGCGAGTTTCCTGCACACCCCATCGGAGCTCCTCCGACAGTGCTTTAATTCCCGCAGGTAGCGGGGAATGGCAAGGCGCCTGAAGGTCAAGCATCAGTGATGAGTGAGCCCACGACAGAGCTGGTGTTGGCCCGGCCACCCTCATCCTCACCACCTCCATCACACCATGTCGACCATTCCTCCTCACCTGACCCGATGTTACTTGGTGCTGACATACCTATAAAGCTCTGGCTTCGGCCTCTTCCTAGTTCAGCGCCAGGCCCTAGCCTCGCTGTTAGCTTCGCATTCTCTCCTCATTGCTCCCAAGATATAAGTGCTAAATACCCTTACCCCTCGCCCATACCAGCTGCCTAACGTTACCGGTCCCCTCAGCTTAAGCTGCCGTGTGTACATACGGACTACGGATATCCCCAACTCTTAGTATCCGATAAGACGGGCGCCCAAATCACATTCTGGCCAATTGATCTGAGCCATCCTAATACTAGGCTCCATATTATTAGCATCCAAGGTCAAAGCAAAAGGGTTCCTATTTATTAAGCCTGGCCTCGCTCCCCTCCTTGGCCGAAATGGACGGAGCTCTAAACGCTACTGTTGCCCGGGTCCGCATTGCCCTGGTTCAATCCGAGTATGTTGTCCTCAGCGATGCCTACAGTAGTTCACTGAAGCTAACCATTGACACAGAGCCGTTGCGAGACTTGGAGTTGAACCTCCCTCCTCCCGGCCATCCCTTCATCGACGCAGGCGAAGCACCGTCACGGCTGTGTACGCCGGTACCAAGGACGGGGTGCCCCTTTTCGCCAAGCAAAGAGTCGTACGGGTCGTATAGGGCTCTGCCAACTGCATTGTGACTTTGGTTATTTGTTCATCAGTCTCCAGTCGTTGAGGACTGCTTGAGCCAACTCTTTTGAATCATGTCTCCGCACAGCACTCAGGGAGCAGCCGCTGGTGGTGAGGATGGCAAGGGTAAAAGCCCCAGGCATTGGATTATGGGCACGGAGGCTTTCGAGGCGCGCATGCCTCACCACAACGGCATCAAGGCGCTGTGGGAGACCAAGTGGAAGTTCCCAGTAAGTAGCCGTTACCGACGCCATGGTCCCCGGAAAGGGGGGATTAGCTATATCTGTCAGTTGATGGCAAGCGTTGCAATGAATATTGATTATGTGACATTCATGTCTAGTGCACCAAATCTGTCTATCCCTTCCACGACGGCGCGTATGAGGATTTTGAGCCTATTTTCCAGCATCTGATCAACGTAAATATCCCTCTCTTCTGCTTCCCCTTTCTTACCCCGCCTCCCCTTCCCGCCGGCAAGCACGGTGGTACTGTCAGACGGTACAGCGCCATCGACACCGAGCCGTTGTCAAGCTCGCCTCGCATCCCCAGGCACCAGACAGCAGCAACATCCGAGATCCCTCCATAACCAGCAGCTCCCACTACATCCGCCAGCTCCTATCCACCTACATGGGTACCAAGGGTACCAAGCTAGACCGCAAACTAACAAATAACAGAACAACATCAACGACGGCACCTCCCCAGAGTACACGACCGCCTTCCTGCCGACCGCAGAGCGGCTCACAGCCGAAGCCGACGCGCTGCTCGCCGCAGGCGACACGGAAAAGGCGAGCGCGGTGTACCTGCGCGCCTGCGCCGTCTACCGCATCGCCCGCTTCCCCTACATCACGTCCTACCCGGCTGTCAACGACCCCGCGAAATGGCGCGCCTGGAAGGCCCAGAAGGAGACCTACCTCCGTGCGGCGCATACCTGGGCCTGTCCTGTCCAAGAAGTCGAGGTTCCGCATGTTTATGCAAGTGGTGGGGATCGACTCGAGATTCCTGTTTATGTCAGGGTCCCGGCAGGCACTGGAAGTGGCAGTGGTGGGGGTCACGGTAAGAAGTGTCCGGTGGTGATCCTCATGACGGGGTTGGACGGGTACAGGCCGGATAATACCGTCCGGTGTGAGGAGTTTTTGAAGAGAGGCTGGTAAGTGTTGACCAGATCATATTAAGTATTGTCAGTGGAAACTGGCCGGCTGACTAGGGGGGTTTCCCCGATGACTTAGGGGCTCGGTCGTGGTTGAGATCCCCGGCACGGCCGACTGTCCGGCCGACAGCGCCGATCCCGAGTCCCCCGACCGGCTCTGGAGCAGCCTGCTCGAGTGGATGTCCCAGGACGGCCGGTTCGACATGAAGCGTGTCATGGTCTGGGGCCTGAGCAGCGGCGGCTACTACGCCATCCGCATCGCCCACACGCACAAGGACCAGCTCATCGGGAGTGTCGCGCAGGGCGCCGGGTGCCACTACTTTTACGACCCGGAGTGGTTGGAACAGGCGGATGGGCACGAGTACCCATTCCAGTGAGCATGGCCCCCGTTACTTACATTTAGGATTGGATGATAAGGTCGAGCACTGCTAACGGAAGGTTAAAAGGTTGACCCCTGCCATGGCCATGAAGCATGGGTTTGCGTCGGTGGAGGAGTACAAGGCCGGAGTGCAAAAGAAGTTCTCGCTTCTCGAGACGGGCATCATCCACAAACCGTCTACTCGGCTGCTGCTAATCAATGTACGTTCCGTCTAGCATCTTCTTTGCGACTGTGGTGTGTGTGGTGTGCTAACTGAAGAATCCAGGGCACGCTTGACGGCCTCATGCCGATTGAGGACTCAATGATGCTCTTCGAGTACGGCACCCCGAAGGAGGCACGCTTCTTCACGGGCGCACTGCACATGGGATATCCTATGGCTAATGCGTCTGTGTACCCGTGGATGGAGCAGGTCATGGCTTCGGTGAAGGACTGAATTCAAAGAGTGTAGGTACTACTAGTAGTAGCCAAGCCATATTGCGAATTCAATAGCTGGTACCTCTCAGTCTTTGTCTAGCATGTTCCTGATATGCCGTGGGTCAATCAAGGTGCCTGCGTACTAACCTATGATGTAGGCGAATCTGGATACAGCTGACTGTGTCTGATGAGACATGGACTGGACGCTTGTAATAGTCCAATAGAGGCTTCTACTTCTTCTAGTCTATTCTAAATTTCAGTAGCTAACAAGCAAGTTATTGGCAATGCCGTTCACCGTGACATCCAAGGTTTCTTACATCCAGCTAGCTGCCAGTATCTAGGTTGACAACTCGGAACTTGGCAGCTCGTCGTGAGATAGGTGATATGGTACTACTAGTATCAATTTCAGGGGCAAGAAGATGAGTAGGTACATATGATACCTAGTACCCAAAACCTAAGGGAGTTCTTAGCTGGAAGCCTAGGAATTCCCTGGCAGCCAAGTTTAAGACAGACAACTAGCATGAGGTGTTTAGACAACTTGAAGTTCTCATAGCTGCGTCTCGTTTATGTCTATATTCGAAAGGTGACAGACAGTACTCTGATTTGATTCCAAGCTACCGCTCGGATTGAATGTTTATCATGGTCTTAAAGTGCTTTCTTTACCTTTATACGCCGGAACAGCTGCTGGAACAACCTAGCCCTGGCACTGCGGTTGAGATAGACAACACACCCGGCATTCCTCCAGATAAACCAGCACTCCTAAGTCAAGGACGGCAATTCCGCCTACCGCCCCATCCAGCCACCATCAACAACCAGTACGTGGCCGCTTACATAGGCGCTAGCCTTGCTGGCGAGATAGACAGCAGTGCCTTTGAAATCATCGGGACTCCCCCACTAGTAAACAGAAGTGTCAGCAACAAATACCCTACGGCCGGACAATGATTAGCGGGTCATGAAAACTTACCCTTCCAGCTGGTATTCTCGCACTGATGCTAGCCAACCGATCCGGGTCATTCAGCAATGCCGTGTTCATCTCCGTCTCTATGTAGCCGGGCGCGATAGCATTGACGGTAATGCCGCAGGCCGTCCACTCGTTGGCGAAGCTCTTTGTGAGCTGGCCGACGGCGCCCTTGGATGCGGCATAGGCGGGCACTGTCAGCCCGCCCTGGAAGGTGAGCAGCGACGCAAAGTTGATGATGGAGCCTCTGCGGCCGGTCACGGGGGATGGCTCTAGTTCCAGCATGTGAGCACCGACGTCGCGGCAGAGGGTGAAGACGGTGTTGAGGTTCACTTGGATGACCTGATCATGACAGATTTAGCACGATGCTGGTCTAACAAGGGATGTCCTTCGGCGGCTTACTTCGTTGAAGTCGGAGTCGGGAAACTTCTCACAGGGATGTCGCCGCTGAATGCCTGCGCAGTTGACCAGGATGCGGATCTGATGGCCATCAGCCAGAATCCGTGGTACGAGCTTGGCTACATCTTCGGCCGAACTGAGGTCTGCGGTGTAGATTCTGGCTTCTCGACCCAAATGACGAATGGCGTTGAGTGTATCAGTGGACGTCTTATCTCTCTAGGTTGCTCAATGAACATCGGGGGTCTTGTGTGAGCCGGGAGGAACATGTCAAACGAGCAAGATACTATGTGACTTTACCTGGACTAGCAGGATGTCGGCTCCGGCTTCGGCGAGGGCGATGGCGACCGCCTTCCCAATACCTCGAGTCCCGCCAGTGACGAGTGCCGTGTGGCCCTCGAGCGAAAACATGTTGGCAATACTGCTGCTAACAGCCATATTTTGATCTGGGCAGTATTCGGTAGTATTTGCGTTGCTATGGCAGAGTTGACTAACGTGACTTCTGCTGCGTGGTGTTATCCATTGTAATTTGTAAGTGAGCCAAGTGCAAGGAACCTCCCGCTCCCCGCCCTCCATCAATATTTCCGCCTTCTGCAGGTCATAGGTAAATGTTTATTTGACGAAAGACATATGGTATCCACTGTATCAGCGACTAGTAACTTCGATCCCACATTGTTCAACGTTTGGAACGTCGTCGGGGAAGCCACAACCGATCCGCAGACACAGCGGGGGTTCTGTTGGACTTCCCCGCCCATTTTGCACCACATACGGGGTACTCAACGGAGTACCATCACTCAATGACGACCATTCCCTCAAAATGACTCGTAAAACAGCTCCAGCTCTCTGGTCTTGTGACCAGTACTCGAGAGGCATGGCTGCCCTTCAGGTTATGGAGATCCGCACTGCAGCTTCCCCTGACCGAGGAAGTCAGGGTCTATCCGGGCCCTAGCAGGTTGGTGATCGGACCCAGTTCTGTTTCCACATTTCCTACCGACATCCGGTCCCTCCTCGGTGCAGTGCGAAGCGACTGCACTTATCCCACGATTCCAACTACGCCGTTCCTACCTTCGTTTCCCTTCTCTTGCATAGTTCATTCTCTCTTCTTTTAACTTTCCCTCGAGTCTAAGAATCTAAGATAGATGGCCGCTACCAGGACAAAAGCCTCCGTTCTTCATGGGGCTCGAGATCTGAGATTGGTAAGCGACGCACCGTCCATGTTATATGACCTAAGCTCATGCTTTCACTCAGGAGGAGCGAGATCTGCCGGCTTTAGGCCCCGAAGATGTCCAAGTGGCCATCAAGACAACGGGGCTCTGCGGCTCCGACCTGCACTACTTCAACCACTACCGCAACGGGGACATTTTGGTGCGGGAGCCCCTGACTCTGGGCCATGAATCAGCCGGCGTCATCACGGCGGTGGGGTCTGCCGTCAGCACCTTGCAAGTTGGCGACCACGTAGCGCTTGAGGTCGGCCAGCCCTGCGAGCAGTGCGAGCTGTGCTTGGGTGGCAGGTACAACATCTGCAGGCAGATGAAGTTCCGGAGCTCGGCAAAGGCGTTTCCTCATGCGCAGGGCACCCTTCAAGAGCGTATCATCCATCCGTCAAACTGGTGTCACAAGTATGTCTGGCCCACAACAATGCCAAGCCGTTTGCTGACGCCGACTTCCCAGGCTCCCATCGAGCGTCTCGCTGGAGCTTGGCGCCCTCGTGGAGCCTTTATCCGTTGCTCTGCACGCCTCGGACAGGGCTCGTCTTTCGTCTGGGTCTACGGTCCTGGTCTTTGGTGCGGGGACTGTCGGTCTTCTTTGTGCCGCCATCAGCAAAGCAGTCACCCAATCCAAGGTGGTCATTGCCGACATCCAGGAAGAGCGTGTGAGGTTCGCCGTCGAGAATGGCTTTGCCGATGCCGCTGTCGTTGTGCCCATGAAGCGGCCCGAAACGGTTGAGGCGAAGCTGGAGTTTGCAAAGGAGGTGGCCGAGCTTGTCAAATCAACCGAGTATGGTGACAGCCACGAGCGTGTGGGTGAGGTTGACGCCACGTACGAGTGTACAGGCGTCGAGGCTTGTCTGCAAGCTTCTATCTTCGTGAGTGCCTCATTCGGGATGGTCAGAGCTCGTTTACTGACAGCCGATTACAAGGCTACTGCACCCGGAGGTAGAATAATGATCATCGGCATGGGGAATCCCGTCCAGACGCTTCCCATATCCGCGGCCGCCCTCCGCGAAGTGGACCTGGTTGGTGTCTTCCGTTATGCCAACACCTACCCCCGGGTCATTGAGCTGCTGGCCAGTCAGAACCCCAGGCTCCCGGATTTCGGGAAGCTTATTACGCAGCGGTTCAGCGGGATGGAGAGCATCCCATCAGCCTTTGATATGGCTGCGAGGGTGCGAGACAACGAGGGAAACTTGGTGCTTAAAGTCATGGTTAACATGTGAGGTCTCGGACTTCCATCTTTTGATATATTGTCAACCGGCATCCCTTCAGTCGATATGCCAACAAAATTACCAGGTAATTAGATCTCAGGAGAGCGCATGTAAGCATTCTACCTAGAAATCTTCTATTCCATGCCCTCTATCTGACTCTACTGCGCCTTCCAACCCAGCCTAGCCAAGCAAGGACAGCTAAGACTTATCCGGGAACCCAAAGTCAATTCCAAACGGCGGGTATACAAACCGCTGCAGTTTGCCTTCACTCGTGAGCTTGTCGGAGTAATCCTTCAGCAACTTGACGTCCTCCTCATCAAGATCAATCACATTCATGTTCTCCTTAATCCGCTCGGGCGTGACCGACTTAGCGAGGACGGTGCTGCCTCGGGGGACTAGTCATGGCATCAGCATCTCTCCTCATCTGAACAAGCTCAAAACAACAAGGAGGTGTAACATACAATGATAACTCAACAAAACAGTAGCAGGCTTGACGCCGTGCTTCTCGGCGATCTTGACGACGGGCTCGGCGCTGAAGAGCGGGCCGCCCGTGCTGCCTAGCGGGCTGTAGGCCATGATGTGGATGCCCTTTTCCTTGCAAAGGTCGACAATCTCTTGCTGCGGGAGCGCCGGGTGGTTCTCGATCTGGTTGACGGCGGGAACGACGGTGGCGTGGGGGAGGAGTTGTTCCAGGTAGCGCTTGCTGTACTGTTTACCAGACGAAGAGAGGTTAGATGCGGCTCCATCGACGAGGGTTGGGGGGGGGGGGGGGGGAGACAAACGTTGGAAACGCCAATGGCCCTGGTTTTGCCCGTCTTGAGCAGCTGCTCCATTTGCTTCCAAGTGTCGACGTGGTTGTGGCTGCGGATGATGTCACGCTCGCCATTGGGGAGTTTGGGGAAGCGGTCGTCGTTCCCTGAGGGGAGGATATTTGAGTTAGTCCGGTCCAAATCCTCGGAAAACGAGAGCGTCTTACCTTCAGGATTCATCAACAACGGCCAGTGCTACATGGTTCAACCACCCCCTTTATGTCAGCTCTTCCCACTCCTCAACGACCAAACCCCCAACTCCTGCAATACGCAACGTACCACCAGAAACAAGTCGACATAGTCCAACCCCAGACTCTTCAGGCTCTTGTCCAGCCCCAGCTCGACCCGAGTATTGTACGTTGTCCAGACCTTGCTCACGACGAAAATGTCCTCGCGCTTGACGCCCGCGGCAAAGGCCTCGGCCAGGCCCTGGCCAACCTCTTCCTCATTAGCGTAGCAGTACGCGCAGTCAATCAGCTTGTAGCCCGACTTGAGCGCGAACGCGACCGCTTCCCGGACCTTGCCCGGCTCGGATTGCCATGTGCCTTGGTGTAGCCGTGGTTAGTCAGATTGAATGGGACCTGGAGCTAGAGAGAGAGAGAGAAAGATCCTTCTTCTTACCCAGCCCGAGAGCGGGAATATCCTGCCCCGTGTTGAGCTTGTACGTTTTGTTAGCCATGACGATAGGGCGAGAGGAGAAGGTCCTGGTGGTGATTCGAGGAGGAGTAATGGGCAAGATGGAAGACCGGAATCGCAGCAACGAGCGTCTAAGTGGTGGTTTACTACGTGTGAACAACAGCTTGAACAGAAGGAGTGTCTGGTAATGTATTGTACGTGAGCGAGCTCAACAGGAAGAGCCAAGGCTACCTCGGTGTCAGTTTTCTTTCGCGGCCGGAGAAACTCCACTGGAAGAGGAGAGAGATAGGATCGGTGGAAGCTCTGGCGTGGGGAGTCGGGGCAGATCTGGGCCCAATGCCTGCCGTTTCGAAGTGGATGGCATGTCAAAACCGGCTAAATAGTGTATCTACCTAATGTAGGTGGCATCACCGATGGCAATGTGGACGGTGGAGCGGGAAGCTCAAGCCGCGGCAACGTGATTCCCATCGCCAACCGGTTTGATCAAGTAGCCATCATCTAGCCTACCGCTCCGTTTCGTGAGTATAAGACAGACGTATCTCCTTCTATCCTTACCGCAGTCACCTGAAGTCATGACACTGCCAAACATCGCAGCATCATTAATCGCCATAGCGGAGCGCATACGAGTAAGGGACCCGAGGACGTCGCGGGGTGTTAGCCCCTCCTCCATCTGAGCCCCGCGATTGTGGGCTTCCCCGGTTCAGGAGTAGTCCAGGAGTGCTGGTTCAATGGTTGCTGTCTCTACGAAGTACCCCTGCATGTCTTGAGACATGCAATAGGTGGAAAATTTGCTTCGGCTTCGAGAATCGCCAAGGCCGATTAGATCCAACAGTCCAAGGTACAGAGGTACAAAGTATGTACTGTACACTGTTTAAGATTCCTGGAGATTGTTGAGATCTGTGCAACACATCTCTTGGAGTCTTGACAGAACTGAAACTCCACAGCAAAGGGAAAGTGAGAATTAAACAGCCCGCTGACCTTCAACAGCAATACCTGAACGCCTTCGTCTAGCTGGCTCGATGCGATGCGCTGTTCGATGCCCTATTACTAGTGTATACCGACCCATGCGGTTGTCTAACATGAGGCCGTCGCAAAGTGATAAGGAGCAAAAAGGGTGATACAAAGAAGAGAATACTGCGACAAAGGATTATCTACCCGGCGATCAACACCCAGAGCAGGAAGAATACCATCTGATTCCACAGCGTCAGCGGGGCTCAGCCGATAGAGCAATATATAGGGGGAGCGCTTACCAGAACGCCAAACATTTTGGCTATGAGCCACCTGTTCCCGGAAACGCGAGACCAGTAGCGAAGAAGCTCTTTTTGGGCGCCTTCGACATTGTCCACGACATCCTCTCTGTTAACAAGTCAGCGGAAGCGCCATGGGAACAGAGCCTGACCATGCGTACGTACGTATTTGCGTCGATTCGCTGGATCATCTCGGTCTGTTCGCTGACCATGGCGGCGAGTTGTCCAAAACTGTGCGGTGCTGGTTAGTCCGCGCAGCCCATGCAAGACCATCCCCAGATTGACTGTGTCATGGCTTACATTGACCCGAGTTCGTTGATGGTGGACTCGATTGCCCCAATCGCCTGCTCTCGTTGCTGGATGTACGTGTTCTGGCCCTCCTCCATCATCTGCAGCTGCAACTGTTGGTTTCCCATTGGATTGAGCGAGATAAGATCGGCCCCTGGCGAAGGAGTCCCCCTATTCGGAGTGCTGTAGAGCGGCGACGCAGACTGCGGTAAGGATGCGTGGGCGTGCTGTCCCACGTTCGAAACGAAAGCCTCAGTTCGTGACCTAGAGGCCTGGATATTCTTTGTCCTGATCTCAAGGACATCCTGCAGGCGCGTGAGCATTCAAGCATTGGGACGGTAAACGCGCCGGCGCAAGAGCGAAGCCCACCTTGAAGTTGGCGCTGACATCCCCAAGCTTTCCTTGTAAAAGCAGCAGTATGTTCTTGTTGTTTTCTCCTTCTTGATCCGGCTTAGGATGTAGCCGCTTCGACAGTGCTTGGAGATTTCGAATTTCTTCGTTCAAACGGGACAAGTCTTGTTTAATAATGAATGTCAACTGCCTACTGTTAGTCTAGTTCTTCGAGTTTTACCAGACGCCCAAACATACTTCATTGACCTCCACCGGGTTGTCGTCAAAGAGTGATCGCTTTTTGGCCACTGCGAACTATCAGGAACTAGAACCGTCGGTCGGTGCCAGGGGCGATGCCTACACTGCGCCAGTTTCTCGAGTTTCCCCATTGTAGCCGAGATGCCCCTCCCAATCTCGGCCGCGTTTCGCGCAAACTCTGATCGCCGTGGTTGTCCATTGGCACTGGCAGCACTCTTTTGCGCGTCGTTTAGGAGTCGTTGCGAGCCGGGCTTTGCCGCCTGCTTCCGTTTCGCTGCAGTGACGATGTGTCGGAATTCCGCTGTGCGGTCGTTGATTGCCACAGCCATGGCGACGGCTGGGTTGGGACTTCAATGCGCAAAGGTTGGGTTGTGTCCGAAGCCTGCCAGGAAAGTGAAAACTGCGATGCGATTCAACAGGGAAGCACTTGAGCGTGGCGAAGTCGAGTTGAGGAAGACGATGGTGCCGCGGAGGATTAGTTGAAGCGCGTGATCTGGGCGTATCAAAAGGACCGACGAAGGGAAGATGCGGCAGCAAGAGGTGAGGCTGAACAAAGGTCGCCGTTGACGGATAGGGCGGCTCAATATGTTTGGTATGTCAGGCTTACGGCGCTTCCGGCTGATGGAAACGTGGTGTTGTTTCCAATATGTAACGCTCGGACCGCGCTGAGGTGGATCCTTGCATCCAGTCAGAAAGCGGGAGCGCCGCGAGCCTTGGCTGTCAGGGGCTGTAACTTACCGGTGACGTATTACTCAATGGCGTGGTATCATACATACAAGGACTTTGTAAAATAATCCGTACTCCCTACAGCCTCGAAGTCAACGGACGACTGCTCCGGAGAGTACGATCTCGTTACATAGCCGTTGTTATGCCAATCAAAGCGGTTGCTGGTATAAATCCCAAGTCCCATACTCTAACTCGGACATGTCCATGGCAGGGAGTTCGACGAAGCATGGCTGTGTACTCCGTAATCCTTCGATTCCAACTACAGGACTCGTACCGTTGGGTACCCGTAAGGAGTAGGGTCGAGATTTACTGTTTCTATCGTGCTGTACATAGTTTCGCTCTTCAACCATCAGGATAATTGCTGCAATGCTCAGGAAGGTCGAACTTCTAATAAAGTTGTCGGCACCTAGCACGAGTCAGGCCCACAGAACCTCGGCTGGGCACGAGAAGCAGCAAATACAGGGGTTCAGATGACTGGCTGCCATGTTACGAAAAGGGCTTGGGAATGAGGACAACGACGTCAGCGCTCCCGCCCCGTTTCGATACAACTGCCTTACTGCCCGTAGCCAGGTGAGCCAGGCTATGGAAGTGCGGGGCGAAACGTCGAGTCCCAGCTTGCTTTCAGGCTAGGTGTTTGTTTCATTGGTAGGTACCTCCCGTTCGCAAGCAGCACTTAGCAAGCACCGGTCAACAAGGTGCAATTAGGTGATCATGGGGCAGGAACAATGGAGGGGCAACTCGACAACTTACCTGAACGGATCTCTCGAGGAATGGAACAGCAGTACGGAGGTATAAAGTACCAAAACGCCCTGAACCCCGCCATATCCGAACAGTTTCCGCCCTGACTTCCTTTCCGGTTCTGAGCCCAAGAGCTTTGAACCTGAAAGTGGTGGATGTAACTCTCCAAGATAATCACGCCCGCCCAGTGGAAGCATACGACCGAGGATCCTATTTTTTGGAGCGAGATCTTCTTGGCAAGTGGCAACGCGCGACGGGCCCTGAACCGCCACCAACGTGATCCTTGTCAGTGCCTCCTCGAGGCAGGTAGAGACTCTTGTCATTGAGAAAATCCCCTGTTGGGACACATGCGTCCTCGTTCCACCTCTCCCGCGAACTGGTCCGGTCTTGTCTGGATCGAGCCCTCGGTAGCGGCGATAATACGTGGCTCGATTCGGATATTGTGTCACCGTCTCATCTTTATTGTAGAGGGTTCTGTCTTTCCCGCTTCCGTCGTCCTACCTTCTTTGCCGTGTTTTGCCGCAACCGTGCCGGCGGAACGGCAGCTGCATCATCGACGTCCTCTTCGTCGTGGGCCATCTCGAGAACCTTGTATCGCTTCGCTACGGCAGCCCCTGTGACACGAGCACGCATGCGGTCTCAGAACTACTGAATATATATCGCTGCGATATGGATGGCTCCTACGGAAATGTCTTGCCTCCCAGTAGCAGGTCCATGTATTGATTCCCTCCACTGCACGCCGCCTCCTCGGGTGCCCCTCTAAACCTACCGTTTCCACAGGTCTCCAAGCATGCCGCCGCCGAGTCAGGACGCATATAAAATCAATGTAAACCGACAAAAGACGAAGAAATGGGCGAATTTCAAACCCCAAAACTACGATGGCGATGATTGGGGTGCCGATGACGATGAAGCGAAGGACCAGCCAGAACCTCCACTCCCCCCAAAACCGATGGGCCCGCGCCATCCAACAGCGTCTTCGTCGGCTCCGAGACAGTTCCAGCCCCCTGGAACGGCGCCTATATACACGCACACTAGGCAACCTGTGGGTGCGCCCGCGGCCAGCACAGGCCAGCCCCTGACCGTGACTGAGCAGAACGCGTCTTATCGACCGTATGTTCCCGGTGCAGATGTATCGACACCTAGTGGTTATTCCAGTAGCCAAGGATATCCTCATCCGCTGCTTTCTCCAAACTCAAGGCGCAACTCGCCCTCCCCGCACAGCGCTAGCTCGCTTCCTTCACAACAGGTCGGGCTTCGAAAGGATAGCCCGGGACCATACGATGCCGTCGATTCGAACAGCGCAGTGAAGCAGCCGCGGCCTAACCAACAAACAGCCGACAATTCAGATGCCCGAACAGCAACAAGCCCGATGTCACCACAGAACCCGAGGTCTTTTGTGTCAGCGGACAAACCGCTTCCTTTCATTCGCCCGGCTGATGTCTATCGACGCATGGCGGAAGAGGCGAAAGGAGGACGGCAACCGTTGGAGACTAGGACATTGAGCATGGACAGCCCTGTGGCCCAACCCAGTCAGCGGCCCGAACCGTCGCAAGCCCGATTACAGGCAGGAATATCGAGCCCCCTTGGTCTTCCCGCTCCACCTGCTGAAAGGAAGAGCGAGTATGGCATTGAAGGACTGCTTGACAGCTATTCTGACGATGCTCGCGTGGACCCTTCTTCGGAGGTTGAGATGTCAACGAGGGCCGCTACTACAGGTCAAGATGGGATGAAATCGGCCGTGCCCCACCCATCTGCTGAGCTCAAGTCACACGAGCGCGTTCGACGCTTTTCGACAAGCCCAAAACTACCAGATCTAGCACGCATGTCAGGTTTCGGTGAAGACCTCTTCTCCTCGAGCCTATTCCCTGATTCGAAAGCGCAGTCGCAAACTTCGGAAATTGCGCCGCCTCAGCTCGTCATCGCTCCCGCTGACTCTGCGAATGCAGCAGAGATATCGGCCCAATCGCCCCTCGCCTCGACGCTTCGGGACACGCCCTCGGCCGCAGCGTCAGACATAGAGAAAATGGGCAAACCTAACCCTGATGCAGACACCAAGGCACTGCCTGTGCGCTCCCCATCTCCTTCTAGTAAACCAGAGCGGATTGAAGAGCAGGCATTGCAAAAGGTCAGCGGAACGCAGCCGGTAACTGGGGTTTCTGAGCAGCAACAGGCCACAGGAGGGGGGTCATTGGGAGCGCAGGGGACCAGAGACCAGTTTCTCTCCCGGCCCCATCTACCAGGCGGCTGGGTCTCTGAGACTCCATCTTCGCCCGGTGAAATATCCCATGCGGATCCCTCTCAAGAACAGGGGCCCAGTGCCGTTGGTTCTGGAATGGTATCATCAGCGGCCGAAGCCAACGCTCAGCCGCAATCCCCTCCATTAGGTGCCGAGCAGCCTCAGCAACCTGGGCCAGAAACAGCAGGTGACGTGAGGGTTTCCAGCCCCGTTGAACGCGAAGTACAAGCGACTTCGCACCCCGCTTCACCACGTGCCATACCCTCTCCTAGAACCTCGAGTCCAGCTCGAAACACAGAACTTGAAAAGCCCTCTCCAGAGGCCACAGCCAACGCCAAGGACGGCGACGCGCCACCTCCCGCTAGCAGGCGGTCCTCCAGCTCAGTATCAATGGGTATAACTACTCATCCCTCCGAAATCCCACCGACCGCGCCTTTGAACCCACGCCGAGAATCGCCAGCGCCGGGTGCCGACATGAAGCCAGTTATGGGTTCCCCGTCATTTGAGACCCCTTCAGTTGTCACCCCTCCAGCCTTGGACGCCTCAAGTAATTCTCCAGTCAAAGACAGTGACATGCTTAGCGAGGAGATTCTCAAGTCTCTCAGCCCAGCGCTTCCCGCCAGCACTTCCCCGGATCCCGCCGAGGCATCTACTGCCGCTTACCGCGCAGCTGCAGGTCCCGTCCGCGAAAGCAGTTACCTAGGTGATGTCTATGATGATTACTGGACAGCAACTGAGGAAAAGGTGGACCCGAGCTTTCTTGAAAGTGGCAAGACGGTCAAGACAGAAAGGGTTACAGAGGCCCCGATATCAAACCCGGCCGACTCGCCCGATCAACAGCCTATCGCGCCGTCTTCAAGCCTACCTAATATCGGTCGACCGGCTGTTCCTTCTACGACTGAAGCTTCGGTTGATCACACTGCGACCGCAACTGAGCAGGAAAATTCTCAAAGACCCTTCTCCTGGGAGCCATTAAAGCTCCGAGATCCCGCCGAAGCTCCGTCTCCAGTGACTGGAATGTTTGTCGAACAGAAGGCATTGGGCTCGGGTGTTAGAGGTGTGTCTGCTTTGGGGCCAAAGACTGTTGTTCCCGAGGACAAGGCGTTGCCATTGATCTCCGAAACAAAGGCGGCGCATTCCCCTACAAAGACGGACAATTTCACCCCTGTGCCGGACGAACCTCCCGCTGGAAACACTTCACGGCGATCACTTTCGTCCGCCTCCGGCTTATCCGATAGACACGAGGGTGCTCAGAAGCTGTCCCTAATCGAGGAGAAAATAGCGCTTCAAGAACAATCAAAAGCCTCTCCCCTCGCCTCGCCGCTTGAAAAGCATCCTGCCCTTGCCGAAGCCCTGCAGACGCAGCAGGCTATGGACTCAAGTGCACCTTTACCGAGGAAAGAAGCCTTCAACGTATTATCTTTTCGGAACATCATGGACATTGGTTCGCCGGCGGAGCGGATCAAACATTACAATGAGACACGGTCACAATATTCCGCCATGGATAGCGGACTGGACGAGTGGGTGAAGGTTATGTTGTCCAAGCATCCCGAACATGCGAATGCCGGTTTCACATACCCAGGGCCTGCACCTAATGCCCAGCAAGGCTCGCAGGGAGCGGGGACAGCGCTGCCCCAGAACGCAAGGCCATCAGCGAGCATAGGTATGCCATCGCAGCCATACGGTTCTGGTGGATTAGGGCAGTTTGGACACTCGAGTCATCAGATGGGCACCAAGAGCAGAGAACTGTTGATGGCAGCGGGCAAGGCTGGAAAAGGACTGCTGAGTAAAGGACGAAACAAGCTTAGGGGCACGGGCGACAAGGTGTTTTCCACTTCATAAACGAATCGCGGTTTCTCTCTACAGCGTTTAATTGAGATTGGGACAAATATCCATCATATCATGCATGGACTGGGCATAGGCATGGACGCTGGGATATGGTTGGCCGTGTACTTCGTACGGGTATTTGTACAACACATAATCAAGGCCGGGCAGATGAATTTGTCCAACACCCCCATCCTCCCAGGAACCACCGGCTATTCCGGTAATGAATCACAGCGTGGACGGGGAATGAAGCAGCTGAAATAAAGTGTCATTGCTCTGTAGATCGGATGGATATGGTAACAAGTGAGTGTCGACATGCCTCCCGTTTTCTTGTCGCCAGGGCCCAGCCTTGTAAGTGGGGCTGCTGCGCCGTTGCGGTTCCGGATATCGGGCGAGCTGATGATGGGATGAAGGCTTTCACACGTTCGGCATCCCGGGATCTCACGGGATTGGGCGGACAAGGGCGCACCAGTACGACATACGCAGCCACGTGCATGGCAGGATGGCGAAGCAATCCCAGCCGCTTGAGCTTTGTTAAAGGAGAAGTTCGCGGCTTGCTGGTGACGGGAGCTTTTAACGTTAGGTGATTTAGTACGGTACAGTACTGTATGGAGTTGCACTAACCATGCTAATAACGGTTGATGCAGCAGGCTGCCACTGCAGCCCTCCTCGGTTCAGCGGCTGAACCACTTGTAGCCAATCCCTGCCACAGCATGCTGACGCTAAACAAGGGTCTCGACCAGCAGCAATTTCAGCTTTTCTGAGGAGGAGCTCCTTCCCCAGCAACACGGTTTCTCATCCTCATCGCAGGAGCTTCCGCGTCGTAGCCCTCTCTCGGCGATCATCGTCCTTTGAATCACACCCGACGTCCTGCTTTCGCCAAAGAGACGCCGGCAACCGAGCGCGAATATCGACGACCCCAAGGTTGGCGTGCATGGAGCTGTTCATAACGGTAGCCAGCAGCAAGACTTTGAAACTTATATGTTGGTTGCGATAACGCTCTGTTAATGCGCCCTCCCTTGACGACAACCGCGAGAGCCAAACTACGCGCCATTGATGCAGCGCGCCGCTTCTTGTGACTTTTCTCACATTGACAGCACCGATAATCACAAGGACAAGCTTCTGAGTCGCACGGCATTTGGTCCCTCTTACACAGAAGCCAATTTTCGACTGTGAAGTCGACTGCCGAGGCGGTAATCGCGCATCATCCTTCTCCTCGTTCCCATCCTGGCCAGAGCATCCATACCAATCGTGAGAAGACCTTGCCCGACGCAGCAGCGCAACAAGTCGATTGGGAAGACGGGGCTGGTGAGCTTATTAGTTACCTAGTGTACCGGTGGCAGCTGTCACCGCTACATTACAGCAGCAAGAACGGCGTCCGCATTCTGTGGGTCGACCCTAAGTCCCAATCGTCCCAACTGCGGAGTAGCCTACAGACGTCCCCGAGACCCGCCTCCGCATCGCCAAAAGAAAGAACCGCAAGCCCGTGCATCCCCACCGCCTTGATCGCTGTCGCGTTGTACACTGTATAAGTCGCGCGCCGCGAGCTAAGCCTTTGCGATGGCGGCTTACGCGCAGAACCTGAACTTCAAGCCCCTGCCACCACCAGGCAACTTCCCGCAGGGCCATCACCTCCAAGTCCAGCAGCAGCAGCAGCAGTATCAGCAGTATCAGCAGTATCAGCAGCAACAGCAGCATCCGCAGCATCAGCAACCGCAGCAGCAAGCTGGCCCCAATGGCCTACAGCGACCTCCATCGTTTGTAGGGTTGCCGCCTATACGCCGCGCTTCCACGTTCAGCTCTTCTCTCGGCCTGAATGAGGAAGGGTTCTTGTCCACCGACAACAGCCTTGAGGGTGCTGCTCGCCAGCAGCAACGCCAACAGGGAACGCCCTCGCCATTAGGACCTCCGTCGCAATCGTCAATGGCGGCGTCCCAGACGTCCCAATTCATGTCAGGAAGCCAGCCGGCCGGCCAGTCAGTTCAGAACGTGTACCGGCCGACCCAGGGTGCGCAAAGCGCTCAAAACACGCAGGGGCAGACGCAAGCCCAGACATGGCAGCTGCAAGGCCAGCGCCAGCCGCTCCCAGGTTCTACTCCTGGCTTCCCACGTACTGTCCCGCCTGGAACAGCAGCCCTGATGACTCCGAGAGGGGTCATGACGCCTGCCGGAAATAATCCAGCGCCTCAGATGGGACAAGGTCCGCAATTCGTTCCCGGGGGCGGCCGGCCGGTTGCTCTACCACCTCACATGCTGCCTGCCAATATGATGCAGAGGTTCCAACCGCAAAGTGGATGGAATTTGCAGGAATCCCATCTATCGGAACCCCTCCAACCCACGAGCCGTCATCGCCACTCGCCAAGTAATGCTTCCTCGCAGCAGCCGTACTTTGGCCTTGACAAGGAAACCGGCGTCCCAATGACAGGCGGCCTCTCACCACAGCGACAAAAGGCTCAGCAATCTGACATCCAGCAGCCTTCAGGCCAGGTTTCCGGCCAGAAAGACCATCCATTTCCTTCTCAGCCATCTCAAGATGTGTCGGCAGATCATCAGAATCCAGCCAACCAACATGCCACTAGCGAGTCTCCGACGCAGCTACAGCCCCAAAAAACTCAGCTGACTAGACCCGGTGTTGTTCCGTCCCACGAAGGAGGACAAGGCAGGCGCGGCTCAGGCATCTTCTCAAGTATCCGAGACAGAGTCGCAGGTGGTCATCCCCAAGAGCGCCGCGAACCTGAGGATAGGCCACAGCTACAAGGCGCCAGCAACGATGCTGCTTCAGAGGCGAGCATTTTGACCGAGGAAGCAGGCATGCCGCCACAGCGCAATCCCATGTTTGGCCCGAGGGGCGCCGGCCCCACCCCTGACAATATGTCTTACGCCCAAAGCAAAGACAGTATCGTGGCGAATGGCTCACACACGCCTGTGGGTGAGAGAATGCCACCGCCGCCTTCCCAGTTTGCGCCGCCGGGCAGGAAACTGACAACTTTCTTCGGAATCGGCGGTACCCCGTCACCAGCCCAATCAGCCCCTTCCCGTCCCGACGAGGCTAGGACGTCAACATCAACAAATACCACCGAGCCGTTTCCTGCGGGGAGCATCGGTGGCCTGCCGAAGAAACGTTTCTCTGCGCTGAAGGATGTATTCCATCGATCACCTCACTCCGGGGGCGTCAAAGCCGGTACGTCTTTTACCGTCAAGCTGCCGCCGCAGGGTCAGCTAGGTCAGCAGAATCCGCCACAGGGTCAATTTCAGACTTCTGCCCAAGCCCAACCTGGACCGTTTGGTTCCGGCCCTATGCAAGGTCCGGCAAATGGCCAAACGCCGTTTGGGCAGAACTTCCAACCCCAACAGGGGGCCATCGCCGAGAACAACCAGGGCCGGAAGCCTGCCGGGGGACTTCTTGGCTTCTTGAGAGGCAGGGCGGATTCTAAATCGCGGGACACACCCGAACAACAGCCAGGCATGCAGTCAATGCCTTTTCCTTCCAGTCAGAGTCCGTTGCGCGGGCAGTACGGTCAGCAAGTGCCGCTGGGTCCCGACGGACGGCCACTCATTGGCACCGCTCAACAGCTCCAGCCCGGTCAATCCGCTTTCCAGCCGCAATATTTGCATCGTGATTCTCCTAGTGTTCCTGGCGTTGCATCACAACCAGGCCAGATGGCTGGGGAACGGCCCGCGGTGCCCATGCCGCAACAGTCCGGGTTCCCTCAGGGACACCAGCAGAACACGCAATTCACCGGCCAAGACCTCCGTTTTCATTCGCAACAGTCTCCATTGTCGAACCAAGCCGGATCTTATAAGCCGTCAAACCCACACGCGCAACAGTCGCAGCCAGCTTTATCGCAACCGAATGATCAAGGAACTCCGCATCAAGCGCAACCTAAACCTGCCGAACCGACACCGGCCAGTTCTGCAGTTGGCTCCCCGGTCTCTCAAAAGTCTCAGGACATCCCCCAGTTCTCAACGGAACCATCCCGGGTGCAAGAAAGAAATCCACCGAGCCCGAAACAGCCCATGGCCGCCCCGCAGCCCGTACAGACTCGGGTTCCGAACGCTCAAGGTCCAGCCACGCCACATCCCGCTCATTTGCTTGACCGGAACGCTACTTCACCGTTCCAGGCAGCGCCTCGTAGTGAACAACCCGCTCCTTATGGCTCTGGGTCCGAGGATAATCGCCATATTGACAGGCCGGTGTCGCCTTCTTCGCAACCTCAAGTCACGCCATCGAGCACCCCAGCCGGCGACATAGGGCAGGGACGGCCTCACCCAGCATCGCCACAACCAGACGCCGGCAGGCCTATGCGGAACCCAGAGGATAGGGTCCCATCGCGACAATCATTCTCCACCATGACTCCCAGAGACCAAGCCTCGCCGGCCGATTCCGGCCAGGGTCCGATTTCTCAGGAATCGTCTCAAGGGGCTGGGGGTATACAACGCCACCCCAGCCAACGGTCTCAGCAATCTGATCCTCGGTTGGCTAACAGTCCACAAGGAGGACAGATGCTTCCCGGCCAGCCACACCCTACTGGGCAGTCGCCATGGATGGCATCTCAAGCTAGTCCTGTACCCCCTCGTCAGCCGTTCAACCCAGCTGCCGGTCAAAATGGTGTGGGTCTGAACGCTCAGGCGAAAGAGAAGGAGCAAAGCACGATATCGAAGTTGTTCAAGGGGAACAAGTCCACATGGCCGGCAATGCCCTTGAAGGAGAAGGAGAAAGTGGAAAAGGATAAAGGCCCAAAATCGTTGTTCACGAGCGCATTCAAACTCGGAGCTAAAGGCACCGAAACACCTACGCAGCCGCAACCGGCACCAGGCTCGCAGACATATGCGCCGTCAGGGGTGCAGCCGCCGCCGCAGAATATGCAATTGCAGCCTCAGCAGGGAAGGCCACCCCCGAATATGATGACGCAGGGGCCAAATCCTCAGCAGAGTATCTCCGGCATCCAACGCCCTCCACAGGGCCAACCATCAACAGAGCCCCAGTATGATCAGGTTCCGATCCCCCGAGGGTACGGATATGTACACGCTGAGGGACGTCTTGTTCCGGCTCCCGCTCCCCTGTACGTTGGGCCTATACAGAACGGCATGGTGTACGCTCCGCCGCCCGGATTCCCTCAACAACAATGGGCTCCAATTGGAGCTGCCAGCACACAGACCCTGCTCGGCGTTGCTTCTAACCCTCAGGCTCAACCTTCATCTGCCACGCAGGCCTCGTCCACCATTCCTTCCCAGACCCCCAAACAAGCCCAGAATCAAGCTCAAGGTCCGATGCCTACGGGTCCTGCTGCGCAGGAGCAAGGACAAGATGTTACTAGCCGACAGGTGACGGGTGGGCATGTTCAACCCCAGCTGGCCGCCCAGCCTACCCAACAGATTCACCCACCGCCAACCGCCCCGCTCCCTCGAGCCCCTGGAGTGTCCCCTTCCCCATCTAGCCAGGCTTCCACACCTCTGGCCCCGCAGTCAAGCGGAGCCCCTGCTCTACAGCAGGCAAAGCCTCACCCCGAGGCGACTCGTTTTACTAGCACGCACAGCCCTCAGCAGAATGTCCCGCCGCAGCCCCAGGTTCAACGCTCAGCTCCTCCCCAGTCCTATATCCCACCGAACCAGCAAGGTGCACAGGGAATGACGCAGTCGGCAGGCGAGACTTCGGCGGATGGCGACCTTGCGTCACTTCCATCACAGCGAACTGGGCGGTTCCAACCGGCGAATGCTGCTTCCCTTGACGCCAGCGCCGGTCTCAGTGCGCGCTCGCCAAGCGCGTCACTAAGCCCGCTGCCTACTCCTGGGAGGACGGATAGCCCTGTGCCTTCGGTACAAGCAGACGCCAACATCAGTCGGGATGCGGGGGCCGTCAGCCCCGAACCGTCCGTTCCTGGTCCCACGTCCCCGATCAACCAGCTTACGACACCGACTCAACGCGTAGCAGACGACAACGTCTATGACGCGACTCCGCGTCATCTGCAATTTCCTCACTCAGCTCAGCAGCAGCAACAACACCCGGGCTCCGCCGAAACCATCATCATCAATACCCCCGTCGAGCCGAAGTCTGCTGGGTCGTCGCATGAGGCAACACGTCCCGCCAAGCCACCCGCAGGTCCTGGGTACACGCACCAGTTCTCGGGCCCGGCCCCGTCCATGCAGGTCCCTTCACAGATCCAGCCTCGGCAATCGTCTACGACTCCAGACCTGGGCTCGTCCGACTCGGACCTGGAATCGCCCATCATCCAAGACGCCACCATTGCGACGCTGCAGAAGTCGCCCAGCTCAGGCTCGGCGAACAACCAGAGCTCGGCCGCCGACGCCGCCGCAAAGGCAAAGGACAGCGTGGCCATCTTTGAGCGGGCCAAGCGCAAGGCCGAGGAGCAGAGGGAGGCCGAGCGCAGGCTCGTGCTCGAGGAGAAGATCCCCGTCTTCCCCTCCGAGCCCGAGGACGACGCCCGCCGCAAGGAGGAAGAGGCCGTTCCCCAGATGAGCGCCACCAGCTACCCTGGGCAGGAGTGGAATCCTTATGGTGAAGGGGGATTTGAAGACTGGGAGTGAATTTACGTGAGATTTTTGGACTGTTTCCTTTTAAATGACAATTGTGTGGCTCGACACTTGACTTGATTTTCGGCTGCTTGAATAACTCCTCGACTCTCAGCTCTGTTAGCATTTTGGCTGTGGTGAGGTTGAAGTGGCGGACTTTTGGCTTATCTGTCGTTCCCTTTCCTTTTTGTGCCCCATCCGTCTTTTCTGTCCTTTTTCTTGGTTACACATTGTCGTGTTTTGGTTATTTTACCGGCAGGCACAATGCTTGTGTCATTTTGGTCCGTCACTCGGCTTTTTGTCGCCATCGCCGTTTCGTTCTTCTTGTTAGTCGGCATATTGTGCTTTCTCCTTCTCAAAACTGGGTACTTCCTGACCCTCTAACCTCACAACCTGACTTCATATACCCATCTCTTTGGACCGATGAATTGGTAGTGTAATCAACTGTGGTGGAATCGTGGCTAGTTGTCGAGTAAAAAAAAGAACAGACAAACAAGAAACGCAATACCTGTTCTTCGCTTGGTCTGGATAAAGGGGGCAAAAAGCTACTGAGCTCCTCGAGTAATATGCAAGTCTTGAAGTGTTTAGATTTGATGTAGCCAGGCCCGTCTTGACTATCTAGCGTTGACTTCCATGGGTTAGGAGACTATATGACGCTGAATTCTCAGACTGTCTCATCACGAACATGCTGTCATGTATGCTTCCAGACGTTCCGAGTCAGAGAGAGGAGTACCCAAAATACTTACTGGACGACGCAAAAGTAAGGCTCGAAAAGCATACCGAAGAAACTGTAACGCCGTTTGGCCACTTATTTCGCAATCCTAGCACAATGCATGAAGCATAGGCGTACATGTTCTGAGAACACATCAGCCACGTACTGACTGGATGACGAAGCCAACCCAAGTCTGTCAACTAGAGATTATGGTCGTATCATATATATGTATTTGTATATGTATGGATCTGGCTCTCCAGAATTAACTAATCTGAGCCCCGGTTTCTCAATCCTCCCTTCCCAAATCCTCATTAATACATTCTACTGCCTTGTATGCATACTACTTGTCCCCACCCCCCTGCCTTGTAAGGACAAACATCTAAATGTGTGTAAACCCGAGAACGCCAGACTCAATAAAGCTTCTTGTCCGACGCGAATCAGAAAAATCACGAGCGAATATCCGATAGAGCGATAAGAAGAAGCCGGAACGCCGAAATGAATCCCTTACTTCGCTCTTCGCTTGGGAATAAAAATGGACTTCCCACCAGAGTTGTTGATAATAACACATTGCAAACTGTGCGGCCATGACCAAGCAGGGAACATTGCGTTTGGGTTGTTGGTCATGAGGGGAGCGTTGCCTTTGCCCTGTTTTGTGATGGGCCATCCTGATCAGAGACTGGGATTCGACTCCGGGCGTGCATGGTCGACGTCGATGGCTTGTTTAACGTCGGCCTGCAGCTCCGTAGCAGAGTTGTCGAACGGGGATGGAATCTGCTGCTCGGCGCCTCGTGCCTCAGTTTGCACACCTGTTACCACATCCTCAGGGCTCGTCGGCCGTATAACTTCGGCAGCCTCTTCCGGGGGATCATGTTCCGATGTGCTGGGCAGCTGCGGAAGCGGCCTAGTCGGCTTCACGGGCGCCGCGGCGTCTGCGGCCCTCGAAGCAACATCCTGGCTCGGCCTGGGACTTCTTTCTCCGCGAATGCTGGGAGCAACGCTAGAGCTTGAAGCATGGCGACCGTGGCCGGTGGGCACAACGCCGCCGCCGATCCGGCTCCAAAACATTTGCTCGCGCAGGCGGACGCACTCTTCCCACGCAGCCTTCTCGGCGTCCTCATCTTCAGCCCGCCAATGGCCATCCTTGACAATGCGGAGAAACCCCAAAAACTCGCATGTCGATCGAACTCTGGCCAGGCAGTAACTGCAGAGGGGGTACCCGGTTTGGGCATTGTCGGCCTCGCTGATGCGGAAACGGTGGGTTCGGAGATATTCATTTTCCTTCCTCGATTCGCCGCAAAGAGAGCAAGGATATAGTTCGGGCTTGATCAATTTGCCGAATCTGCCCGTAGCTGTAGCAGGGCTAGGCTCGACAGCCAGCGACCCATCCGTCATCGATGCTAGCACACTGCGTCGGGCAAGCCAAGAGAGCCCTGGTGCCATATCAAGGCGGAGAGTCGGCTCGATATCCTCGGTGAGTACCCTCTTGTAAAACTTTGTTTCCTTCAGGTGTGGGAGAGCTGGCGTGACAGTAGAAGAGGCAGTGCTAACGGATGATGCCGGAGTAGCTGGTGTCTGTGGTGAGGTTGCCGTCGGGCTCCCGGTTGTGGCTAGTGAAGAGTTGGATCCACTACCAGCCGAAACGTGCGAAACAATTGAGCCTAGACCGATCCCCAACGATGTCAACCCAGTGCCTGACTGGCCTGGGGAGGTGCGAGAACCGGAGAGCCTCTTCGATGTTCGCAAAAGGTCCCTGAAATCGCTGTATGCCGCCAGGTCGGTACGGAGGACAGGGTGTAGAAGATGAGTGAAGCTGGTTGGATAAGACGGGGTATAAGGTGTCGACGGGCTGGGATGATGCGTGCCGACCGAAGGGCCTATCGCCTCTTGGGCATCGAAGTGGCTGAGGCCGGGGGAAGAAGGGACTGTGGTAGGAGTTCGTTCCTCTCTTTCAGCTGTCAGCTGCTCCATTACGTGCTTGAGCTCGGCGAGCTGCTCTTGCTGGGATCGAAGGAGACCCTCAGTGTCAGCGAGCTGCGCCTTGAGTTGGTCATTCTTGCGCTGCAATGCCTCGTGCTCAGCTCGTGCATCCTCCTTTGCCGAAATTACCATCTTGTTTGCTTCCTCAAAGAGAGCGGTCGTCAGGTTCTCCAGCTCCTGCTCGATCTTCTTCTTTTGCTGTTCCACCTCCACGCGAGCCTTCTTCTCTTCAGCGATGCGGGCGGCCAGCTTTGCCTTTTCAGCCTCTACGCTGGACCGTTTCACCCACACGTCGCCTGCAAGCATTTTCCTCTGCTCTTGCACCTCAGCCTCGAGTTCCCGTATCTTTTCCCGAGCCTTCTCCAGCTCCAACCTAGCGGCGGACAGGTTGTCGTCCAACGTCGTTTGGTGATTGATGGCATTGATGAGCTTCGTGCTTAAGGTGGCGACTTCCTCGTCGAGGTCGGGATGATGCGGGCTGGCCGTGCTGGCCAGGTGGGCAGGGCTCATTCCTCTGCTCCTTGGGTCGGGTATTGTGCTTAAATCGTTGTCATCGTCAAGGGATTGGGACACAAAGGCTCTTTTGGGCTGTGGCGTTGAAGGGCTCGGGCGGACAACGTCGGCTGCCATCGAAAATTCCGTTGTGGAATTGGACCGGGCATGAGGAGTTGGTGGTTTCGGAGAAGCTGACCTTAAGATGCTGGATAATGACCTGTTGTGGCCGAATGCCGAGCGGCCGCTAGAAGGGCCCTGGTGCGACGGCCAGCCGGCCACGGCAACGAAGCTTTGCCACCGCCCGTTAGTAACCGCATTTTGACGACTTGCTAGCTGTTCATCCCAACAGAGCTCGCAAGTTCAATTGCCAGTTGCTGCGCCAAGTTTCCATCCAATGCTCACGGTCGCCCATAGGATAAGGCCTGGATAGGTAGAGAAGAAAGCTGTGTGTACATACGGGTAATCCAGTTTGAAGGCTTGCTTCGGACCGCACCAGTGGCTGGCGGGTCCTTGAAAAGCGAGGGGAAGCCCACCCTGGCGTCACTTTTCACTTATTCGAACCGTCGCGGTATCGTCTGAAAGATTGCAAGACACCCTTGAGCGTTACGAAGAGGTGAATATTGTCCGAGAAGCGTTGAGACCGTCCGGGAGGTATGTGGTGCGCGTTCAATGGAGACAAGGAAATCGTGGGCAAAAGCGATTCGCCCTATCACGTCAATCCCCGCGTAGCAGAAGACGTCGAAGGGATCTAATATGCGAGCGAAGACCCAGAAGTGAGAAAGGTGGTTTGCCCAAAACGGACAGCGGAGGAGGATACGAGGAAGAAGAGGGAATGCGACGGCGGACGACGTGCAGCGATTCCCAAGAAGAGCTAAACGACAACGCTGCGATAGGAAAAGCGTCTCCAGACTCGAGACCGGGGTCTGCAGGCTTTATTGGGTCTTTCTTGTTCTGGCCCGCACGGATGATGGACTCTCGAGTTTGATGGGACAAAAGAGCGCTTGCTTTTCTCAGGCACCATTTCTTCCATCTCTTTTGGCGCCGTGGGGTTCCACCTGCACCAAGCAAATTTGGGGCACAGACCGTCAAAGTGAATTAATTGCCTGTTTCCACTGGCTCAGGCGTGCCGGCCCGGCGCATCCACGTGCAATCACCGGGTGCAGCCTGTGGCCCCTGCTCGCATAAGAACCAGGGCTTCGTAAAGTTCGTAACAAACGTCATTGAGCCCTCTGCAACCAGGATTCGTTCCAAAACACAATCCTCCGCGGTTGCAAACAAGTTTGTCGTATTCGCTGTCCACAATATCGGATTAAAGGACCTGCAATTCTTTCCCGAAACTCATCTAGACCATCTATTTTGTACAAGCATATGGAATACTCTAATTACTGGATATACTGTATAGCGTACAGACCGTCAGCAAAATCTCAGGCTGGCCGCTGGCCACAGCGAACATTGGCAGGGCGCTCGGGCCAACGGTTTGGTGTTGAGGCTCACAGTTCATGCCAAGCCCACAAATGACCAGAATCCTGGGTTCATCCCGTCGGTACTCGGTAGATCTGCTTATCAATCGCGGCACGGGAACTCACAACATCGCAGTTGCTACTATGTGCACAGTACACAGAAGCAGCTGTCAATCCAGACGACACCTTCCTGTTGTAAACGGTCTCCTACTTTGGCGTGCTAACCATGGCAAACAGACAGCTGGTCTCCCCACTTTATGTCGGTCAGCAAGGCGGCCATCCCGTCAGCCCTGGGTCTCGGTCAGCCAAATTTGAACATGGAAAGACGGATATCTCGACCGCATCGCCGGGCTAGTCATCACATGCTCAGACCTGCCTTGCGTTGTTGTATCAAAGCTACGATCTCTACTCTGCACAGCACCCCAAGACTACGGATCCTTCCTACTTCCTACCCCATATCGCCATGCCTCCAATGAGTCTGAACTCTGAAGCGTCTCACATCATGAATCTGCTGGGGCACCGGCTGCATGGGGCCAACGTCCTGGTGGTGATGCCACGTGAGATCCGGTATCTTTGCTTTGCCGCCCTTGATGGTTCGCAGCTCGTCCGATATTCTACGGCATGGAGTAAGAGCCGACGAATCCCATGATAATATCTTACTTTCGAGACTTTCTAGAGGCTTTGGCGGGGGTTGGTTATCACCGCATTGTTGACCTGCACAGCTACTAGCAGCAATTGGCTAAGCAGCGTACTGATGTTAATCATATATTTCATTTTAAAGAGCTGCAGTTCCATTTCAACCGAATCCTAGAACGGACAAATAACCTAAGGACATGACCAAGGAAATCTAGGACTGAGTGTGTCGTCCTCCTTGGATGCCTGGAGTACAGAGTTGTAGATGGTGAACTACCAAATCTGGTTCCCCAAACGATGTACCATCTGCCTTCTTTTGTCCCATGGCTTTTTTCCCATCCCCAAACCATCACCCATTTCTTCCCATCCGTCTTTCATTAGATTGCCCGCGAGCATGATACGATACAAGACATAGAACAGACACGTTGATGAGCCAACCTGCAAGCAGGCAATCACTTGACAGAGACGGCAGGATAGAAATGAGCTCCAACCAACAACCATCCACTCCCGAATTAGTAGGATTTCAGCACTCCGCCTAGAGCTCATCCTTCTTTTCCTCCTCTACTGCGAGCTTCTTCGTGGCCTCATTACCCTCGCTGGCTGGCTTGGCGGCCTTTCCTGCATTCTCCTTCTCCCCCTCAACGCTTTGCTTGGCATCCGGGATATGCTCGTCAGGGACAGCGCGCTTGGGCGTCTCGCGGTCGACGCCTTGATAATGGTAAGCGGACCGTGTCAGCCCAAAATTTTCCAACTACCCGGGTCTAATGGGAGGAAATGAGTGGGAAAGCAAGGGAAAACAAGGAGAGACATACCCTCAACATCCGGGTGAGGAGGCGCAACGCCGGCCGCCTCATGCTGCTGCTCACCATCGGCAGGCAGCAAGATCTCGTTACCCTCAGCGTCAACCAGGCGAGTGCGCGTCTCATAACGCGTCTTGAACTCGACCTTGCCCTCAAGCGCCTTGACTTGCTCCTCGTTCAGAAGGTTACCGTCCTGGTCGCGATATTCAATGCGCTCCTCGGTGTGCACCAGCCGCTTGTTGGGCGGCAGGGGCGCGCCCGAGACGTTTGGCTTCTCTTGCTGTTGCTGCTTCTGGACATCCGCGATGGGAACCTGGCCATGCTGCCCGCCAGCAACGGGTGGAGGTTGCTGGGCCTTGACAGACTTCTGCGGGGTTTGCGCGGCCGCCACCTGAGTGGACGACAGGGTCTTATACGCGTCATACTATGGACCCAAGCGAAATGTCAGTATCTGATTGATATGATGTTGGATACGTGTGAGCTCTGGGGTCTCCATGGCGGGTCGAATTGATGACAAATATTCGACCAGTTGAGCCAGCCCCATACAGTTTCCTGCCATACATTGCTCAATGCCAAAGGCTGCCTCGCATCCACCGTCACGTTGCTACCGCCCCCTTTGCGGCAACTTTCTCTCGGGTATCACTCCGTTGGGGAAGCCACTTACACTATCCAGGAAGGTATTGCAGTCCCAGTCCCAGGTGTTGAAGAGCTTGACTCTGTTGCATTCGGCCTTGGTCCACGCGTTGCCGTACGCGAGTGGAGAAAGCAGTGAGAAGACAGCAACCGACAGGGCCAGGAATGTAACGGCGCCGGCCTTTCCGACAATGGGGTTCTCTCTCAGGCCGACACCGGAGATGCGTGCTGTGACGAAGTCGTATATCTGGCAGAACGCAATGATGGAGAAGTAAAGCGCCGGGAAGTAGTGGTGAAGGAAGAGCTGCCGCTGCATGAGGTAGAATGGGAAGTAGTGCAGAGCCCATCCAAGCACTGAAGTCCCGATTTCATAGTCGAACCGCTTGAAGACGGGAATGGAATAGTCGTTGCAGCTGCGCTGCCAGCGGAGGACAGCGACGCCCTTGAACAGGATGTAGATGACAACAGCCGCAGTCGCGCTCCACCAAATGATCGGGTTGCCGATCAGGTAGATCTGGCGGTGATCTTTACCCCAGAAGTTGATGCCTCGCCGGAGAATAGGCCAAGAGGGTGGGCGGGAGTCCCAGGCGTGAGACTCCACGAGGCCGGCATTCGTCTTCCACATAACCTTCTGAAGCTCCCAGAACTTGCCAAAGAAGCCGGGGTTGGCATAATTGACCTTCTCGGCATCTGCTCCGAGTTTGGGATGGTCGTTGTACTCGATATACCACAGACTGTTGGGAAGAGTGCCGCCACGAGCGCACGTCACCTCCTGCTGCTCCGAAGCCCAGTCCGGGAGTTTGACCTTGTGAGAGAACAGCACGCAACCTGTCATGATGTGAACCAGTCTGAACTTGGTGTCGATGGTGCGCAGCCGTTCCTGGGCAACGCCGGACTTTGACTTTTTCTTGACAATTTCGACACGGAAGAAGTCGTTGGCGTCCCCGTCAAAGCCCTCGTAGCCGTAAGCAGAGACCTCGTTCTGCCAATCGGCCTCGGTGATGGGTGGGCGCACATCGTGGGAATGGAGGCGACGGTGCGTAGGCAGGTGATAAAGGCGAATGACGGCGCCGTCACGAATATAGGGAGTCTCAGGGAGGTTGTACCACGCGCTCGTGCCATTGATAGGCTGGCCGTTGATGTCAAGAGGCTGGGTCTGGTTCTCAAGGAGCCACAGGTTGTTGTCGTCCTTGTGGGGATAGAGAGTGACCTGTTGCTGCTTGGATCCAGTAGGGTACATGAGAGGGTGTGAGTGGAGGTAGCCGCCTTGGGTGTTCACGTGCCTGATGCTGACCCGGCTGCCCATAAGCACGTCGGCAGGGACATCCTGCATGCCCTTTGAATTCAAAGTCGACTGGAATTCTGAGCTCATGAAACCGTCGCCGTCACCCGGGTTGACCAGGCAGAGAAAATGGATACCGAACATCGCCATGTAGAAGGTCAGGGGGATCACAATCAAGCAGAACACGCGAGCCATGAAGTGCTTTGCAAAGATGCGCTGCAAGCTTATCAGCTGAGAGAGACATCCAAGAGGCAGACGGGAGACTTACAACCGTGACGTTCTTATAGTCGCCAAGCAGAACCCAGAGCTGGACCAGAGTCAAGCAGCCAACCCAGGCAATGGTGAATAGCCCAACCCACTTGATGCTGACTGTCATTCCCAAACCAAGGCCAGTCATGACAAGCCAGAACCACCAGCTTGGGGTAAAGGCCCTGGATGGACCAAGCTCCTGTTGGTTGGTGAAGCAGGTGAAGGACAGGGCGGTGAAAGCTGTCGCAATCATCAAGGGAGAGTCAAGCAGAATTAGACGCGCCTGCGTCAGGAGCCCGTTCTCTGTGGCACATATTAGACTACAAATTCAAATCTGCCGGCATTCGGAAGGCGGGACAAACCGAAAATAATAAGACCGGCGCCCATGGCGGCAGTAAAAGTGCGGCAACCCGCAGCCTTCAGCGTCAGGAACATGGTCGGGGCCAGGAGAATACCGCAAATGGCCGGGAACAGCCGCATGGCCACATAAGGGACACCTGGTTCGAGATAGTCCTTGCCAATGTCCTTGAAATCAAAGTCTCCATTGAACCCAGCGAGCCAGCCGAAGAGTGTAATCATCAGCTTCGCAAGCGGGGGGTGGACGTCCATGAAGAACCGGCCCTTGATGTACTTGGAAGCGAAGCCGCCGAAACTGATGGAAACGATATGGTCAGGACAGCCACAACTAGCAAGACGGTAAGGCAGTGTACATACTGGACCTCGTCGAAGACAACGCTGGTGGGCTGATAGATGCGAAACAAGCGGACAAGGGCCGACAACACCGTTATCCCAAATACGAGCTGAACATCTGAGCCTGGAAGGAGGAAGATATCATTGTCCTCAACCCCCTCGGACGAGTAGTCATCCTTGGTCTTCGTCGTCTTCGCGCTGGCTTTGGTGGCCTGGCTGTAGGACGGCGGAGGGGGCGACGGCCGCGCCCCTACGGGCTTCACGCTCGGCGGTCGAGCCATGGCGGGCGGCTCGCAGAGAGTATCCGATAGTTGTTGAAACAGCCGCGATTGAGTTGACAGGTTTTCTAGAGTCGTTTCGTCTCGTCAGGGGTGTGGAAGCGCAGGGACAGCCTCAGCCGCAAATCAGGACGATCATAAGACAAGAATTAACGAGAGTCGAGAAGGTGAAGGGTCATTACAAGTCTACCATCGGATTGGAATGGCAGGAAAAAAGGCACAAGTGAAGAATCGACAACCGAGGAAGCGAAGAACAGTCGGCGTCGAGGGCAATCGATGGTCGAGAAAGAAGAATTCGTCAGCAAGTCTGACGATTCTCTGGCTTCGGCCTCAGGCTGAGTGGAAACGAAGCTAGAAAGGGGGTTGCACCTCAGCTGTCGTATGCATCCCTAAATTGATTGTAGCTTAAGTGGCCTCAAACCCTTGTCGGTCTATAAACAGCTGCAGCTGGTGGATGCATGCGAGGCTGGGACTCCATTGGTTGGGCCAGAGACTGACACGGGCCCCTGAGTGCTCCGCGTACCAGGCTCTAGGCTCCTTTGCGCAGTTGCAATGGTGACTGCTATGGAGGTAAAGTAATTACAAGGTACCGTCGTCGTCTGTATATGGGTTTGTAAGTTACATTACACCTGGGTGTCTATCAAGGTATCAATTAGAACTACCTCACCCTGTGATGGAAGTGATTCAAAACTCGGCGACATGCGAATCAGGTCGCACTCAACACCTCTTAGTCGCAAGATGATTCCCAGTGTTGGTTCGATACAGGGAAATGAAACAGAACTGTTGACATCTTCTAAGCAGATTGTTAAACATGTGTTATAACGCTTTGTATGTTGTCCTTATGTTACCTGTAAGAATAAAGTATGATTCCACTTCACGTAATTACCGGTATTCTCGCTCTTGTGAACTTTTGGACGCACGGACCATGAAACGGCACAGCCTTCTCAAACAGGCAAGGACTTCTACAGCCGACATCGTCTCTTGCACTCACATTTGCCAAAATAAACCGAATTCAATAAGCCATCAAACAATCGCAACCGCACTCGCGCGCGCCATGGCTGTCGCGACAAATGGCGATGCTCCTGCCTCGGCAGCCGCTGCGCTTGATAATATCAAGCCGCCGCCTGGCATCATCATCCCACCGCCGGGCGAAATCCGCGAGGCCATCGAGAAAACAGCGGGTTATGTCATGCGAGGCGGCGCCGGCCTCGAGCAGCGCATCCGCGACAACCATGGCAAGAATCCAAAGTTTAGCTTTCTAATGACGAGCTCGGATCCCTATAATGCGTACTACGAATGGCGCAAGCAAGAGATCAAGTCGGGACGGGGCACCGCGCTGTCGGCAGGTCGTGTTGGCGAGGCTGCTGCTGCACCAACCTCGCCAAAGCCCGCGGGCCCGCCCAAGCCGCCTGATTTCCAGTTCTCAGCCCGTATGCCTCGAATGAGCCAGAAAGACTTGGAGATTGTGCGACTAACTGCCTTGTTCGTGGCAAAGAACGGGCGTCCCTTCATGACACAGCTTGCCCAGCGTGAGGCAAGCAACCCCCAGTTTCAGTTCTTGATACCCAACCACACCTTTCACAACTTTTTTCAGAGCATGGTCGATCAGTACTCGATTCTTCTACGGGAGAGCGGAGTCAATGGTGAGGGAACCAAGGTGCAGCAGGAGCGCGTCGACCAGCTTCGCCAAAACGTGGCCGATAAGTACAAGGTTCTAGCGCGCGCAAAACAGAGGGCCGAATACGCCAAATGGCAGGAGGCCGAAAAAGCCAAGCAGGAAGAAGAGGAAGAGAAGAAGAAGATAGAGTTTGCCCGTATCGACTGGAACGATTTTGTCGTGGTCGAGACAATCGTCTTTACTGAGGCGGACGACCAGGCGAACCTACCACCTCCGACGACGCTCAACGATCTCCAGTACGCTTCCCTGGAAGAGAGAAACAAGGTCTCCGTCAGCTCCACCCTACGTATTGAGGAAGCGTTTCCCTTTGACGACACCAGCTACAACGCGTATCCTCCGCAGACATACGGCGCACAAGCACCGGCCGTGCAGCCGCCACCGGCGGCACAAGCCTATCAGGGCGCCAACGGACCGGCCCCGCAAGCATATGGCGCTCCAATGCCAGCTCCCGCCCCCACAAGGTCGGCCGAGGAGGAGTCAGAGGCAAAGAAGGCTCAGGAGAGAGAACAAGAGCGGCTCCGTATGCAGCAAGCACAAGCTGAAGCCCGAGGCGGCCCTGCTCCAATGAAGATCAAGGAGAACTATGTCCCGCGCGCGGCGCAACGAGCAGCTAGCAAGTTTGGCACCCAGACAGCCATGTGTCCAAACTGCAAGCAGCAGATTCCACTCAACGAAATGGAGGAGCACATGAAAAGTAGGTTTGCCTCCCCCAAGCAGTCAGGTTACATGCTAACAATTTACCGTAGTTGAACTGCTCGATCCTCGTTGGAAGGAACAGAAGGCCAAGGCAGACGCCAGGTTTGCCACCACCAACCTGTCTACGGTTGATGTGGCCAACAACCTCAAGCGTCTGGCTAGCCAGCGGAGCGATGTCTTTGACGGGGTTTCAGGCCAGCCTGTCTCGGAGGAGGAGCAGGCGCGGCGAAAAAAGGTTGCCATGCACGCTTTCGATGGCAATCCCGATGGGAAGAGCCAGGCACACATCAACCACCTGCAAACCTTCAATCTTGACGAGCAGATTCGGGCTATTCACCAGAAATTTGCCGACAAGAAATGAGATTTCAAATGGGTGGGCATTTCTATATGTGAAGGATCATCAGGAGCACACGACCCGTCCGGCATCACCGCCGAGGCATTGGCGGCCCGGGAAGTGAAACGGGCTATCAGAGGACTACAGTATGTCTAGGAAGGCAGCGACGGGGTCCTGGAGTAAGCATGGGATTGTGAAGGTGAGAGTGTTGCCTTGTCGACTGTATTTCGCGGCTCATACCAACCGGCATCACAGCTATTCTTGCGAGGTGCAAGCGATCCTCGGGCGAGAATAACGGGCATCCGATAATGCGGGACTGGAAATTGATATGTTCACTAGTTGGGTGATGCGGGAAGCAACGGCAGGTTCCAGCGACACAGTACAGGGCGGAAATGTAACAATAAAGTTCCTTGTACACCTTGCACTCTGTAGGTGATAGCCGGGACAAGACCAGTTCGGTCTGAATTTCCATTATTTTCCATCTGAGGATGGGGTATGAGAATTCGGACGTCATGACGGGGATACACTACCTAGCTGTGGTCGTATTCTGCAGCTGCACTATTCCGTATAAGTAGGTAGATCAGATCGCAACTTCTCCCCGCAGATCTGCAAGAGCACACGAGTTTGATACCCCACCCTTGCAAGTAGCTCAAATACAACCTACCTACTAATTGAGGTGTTCTTGACCGTTCAAACATCACGCCTCGCCACACTCATCGCACCTATTCTTCAAAAGGCCACGACCGCTCCTCTCCGCTCATACGAGGCAACAGCTGACCCGGCGCACACTACACGACCCGCAGCGCCCCTGCGCATTGATAAGTGACCTAGAACAACAGAGTGGGGTGTTCCCAGCGCACCTTTCTCGAGTAAAGTGACTACGACAAAGATGGACACTACCACCGGCAGCCACAGCGAGGCCGCCCAGCAGCAGCAGCAGCAGCAAATGCCTCCAGCCTCTCCCACATCACCCACCAGTAGTACCGCCGGCGGCAACAAATCCCCCACCGCGGCAGCATCAGCGGCCGCCGCCGCCGCCGCCCGGCTGCACCGGCCGATCCTGCAATCGCTCCCGGACACGCGGCAGCAGTCCTTCGACGAAATCTACGGCCCGCCCGAGAACTTCCTCGAGATCGAGGTGCGCAACCCGCGCACGCACGGCATCGGCCGGCACATGTACACCGACTACGAGATTGTCTGCCGCACAAACATACCCGCCTTCAAGCTGCGCCAGAGCAGCGTGCGGCGGCGCTACTCGGATTTCGAGTACTTTCGCGATATCCTCGAGCGCGAGTCGGCCCGCGTCACCATCCCCCCGTTGCCGGGAAAAGTGTTTACCAACCGCTTCAGCGACGACGTGATTGAGGGCCGCCGCGCGGGGCTGGAGAAGTTCCTCAAGATTGTGGTGGGACATCCGCTCCTCCAGACGGGGAGTAAGGTTCTGGCTGCTTTTGTGCAGGGTGAGTGTGCCTTCTCTCATGGTTGCAGGTCGTTGCGGCAGACATGAGGGCTGAGGGAGAGGGAAGTTGAAGTGGACTAATACTGACGGCGAGGCACATATATCAGATCCGAACTGGGACCGGAATGCCTGGTGACAAGAGCGCCATCCAACTGGTTACCCAACAACAACATTGCCAGACTCCTCTCCGCCGCGGCCGAGATCTTCACCCCTATTCTCGGCCGCCCTTTTTTCGAGATTACGATTATTTACTCCTGTCAACAGTGAGACAAGCAGGAATGGCACAGACCGGGACAGGGATGCCGGCCGGCGCAGGCCAAAGAAGCTTCGGAAACGGCCGCCCGGCGGCTGGTTCGAGGCACACAAGTTGGGCGACGAGGACTAACCAGGGTTATGTGCACGCGAGAGTCAAGCGGGGAGTGGATTAAAACCTCAGATAAGTTGGGGCCCCGTGAGTAAGTATTAGCATTCCGGCATATTGGCCGAGGCGAGATAGGTTGGTGGTGTGCACTGCTACGCATTGTACCTGCATTTGATGCAATGGCGAGGAAGGGGGTCAGCCTGGGCAAGAGAAGAATGGGGTGCATGAATGGGCGGAAGGCAGCTTCACTGGTCAGCCTGGTATTCTGATTCCTCCTTTGGTCTTCCGTTTCTAGCCAGCTTTGAGCGGTTTTATTGAGATATCCAATGTCTTTTTCACCTCAGTTCTCTCCCTGAGAGCAAGAACACCTTTTATGTGAGTATGCTTTTAACATGATGAGACTGGAATAAATGGCAGTGTGAATATGGTACTGTAATCCGCCCGACACCGCCTTGCACCGTGATGGTTGTTGATGGGTAGCCACCATGCCAGTCGATTGATCAAAGCCCGGATGCCTGCCCTGACCATATCCAATCAAAGTCCGCGCCATCATACTGCGTGCCCTCGTAACCGTGCTAATTCATTCATATTCAGTGCTCTCCAAGTCTTTGACGTACATGCATTGCAAGCCGTGGTCCGGCTACAACCCCCCAGTGTTTTACACCCCAACGCCAGTGAGAATCTCCAATGCAGAAAGCAGAAAAGAAGGACGCCGAATGCCGCCTATACATCCCACTCTATGATCCTTGGTTCTATATGTGATATTTGATCGTATAAGATGGGAGGGTCCTTGCCCATGAAATACAGCAACGACTGAGACCGTCCTAGGGCGCAACCTATGCCGTGAAAGCGGGGTGTAACGGGTTGCGCTCGCCGACATGATGCCCAGGACCGTATGGTTCGCCTCGTCCAGTTGAGATTAGTATTGTTACACAGTGTTATACAGAAGACCCGTCGCTGAGATGGATCCAAAGCTTGAGGTCCGGTATTGGCTTGCGACATAGAAGGGGGATGGTTTATGCCGGCGTGTGAAGGAGTCGTAGAATACCCTCGTACATGCCAAACATGATGGCCGCACTGGGGACGGTCCGCAGTAAGTGTGGCGTCATGCCGCCGTAGAGGCCAATCATACCCTCCTCTTTAAACACCAGCTTGAAACATTGGATAAGGCCGGTATATTTTGGCCGGCCGTCAGCCATGGGCGCTTGACGAAGACGCGTGCGCGCAACCTGGGATCGAATTAGTATTTCGCTCGACATGTTCCGGTCAGCAGGCGGACGGGACACACCTCGTGCGGATATGTCAGGACGGCGGCAACAAGCTTCGCTCCGCCTGCGGCGCCAAACTTGCCGGTCCAGTCGACCGTGTGGTCCCACCAGGTCTTCTCTCTACCGCTTCGCAATATGCGCTCCTCCCTCCTCACCAGCGCTCGTTTTAGCTGCTCGTACAGCATCCAATGCATGGTCGACTCGGCGACACCCAAGTAACTCGCGCTCATGCCCTTGTACAGGCCTTGGATTCCTTCATTGCGAAGTACTTGTCGGATACAGTCCACGCTGTTTTTATACTGACGCTTGGTGGCGCCGCCGCTTTCCGCCGCCATGTTCTTGTCGAGTTGTAGCCGGGTCTTGACCATCCAGATCGGGTTTGTAGCCGTGCTGGTGACGACACCTGCTAGCGCAGCAGAGGTGAGATGTACCCAGGCCGAGTCCTTGCCGTGGTTCAGATGCTCGGTGATGAGACGCTTGCTGTTGCCGTAGGTAAAGAAGTTGATGGAGCGGGCGGGGATGACGCCGACCAGGTTTGGTCCGAGGCCCCTGAAGAGCGCACGCGGCCCTTCTTGGCGGTATACGGAGGAGAGAATGGATATTGTCTCGTTGAAATGGAAGGCGGCAGTGCGGAGGGGGTTCATTGAGGTAGTGTGGGCGGCTCTGGAAGCTCTGATCTGGGCTTGATAAAAGTCGGACTGAAGCCTTGTCTTAAGCACGTCGAGGGGCGCCGTCAAGGTTGCGGCAGTCATGCCGCCGATTCTAACGGAAGAGGACCATTGTCAGTATGGCGGGGCCATGGCCTGAACTTGTCCCTTCGGCAAGCTTACCCGCCTGCCACCATGTGCGCCCATGACTTTGAGAAGGCAGTTTTTGCCTTGTTGCGGTTCACTATAGGATCGCCTTGGCGCGACTCGGGGTTAACGTCTCCAGTCTCTCGCGACTGGGTGAGCGGCGCATCCTCGTGTGAGCTTGTGTTCCTCCCCGAGCTACCAGGCATCGACCTAGTAGCTGGCACTGAAGCCATCGTCGAACGTCGCTCGGGCCTTCTCGTTCAGTTGACCGAAGTTGCCGGTGTGGTTGATCGCTAGCAAACGGATGACCCTTTAGAATTACAACAATAGTTCGCTATTGCTGTCAAGCGTCATAACAGACTTTGAATATGCATTTCCATTCACCATGTAAATTGCACTTCGTAGACTGCGAATCGGTGACGGAGCCGATTTTATCAAAAATCCATTATCGCGATAAGATGCCGGAGGAAGCTCTCAACTTTTTTTCACACGTCAGATCTAGACGTGCAGACGCGTCCATTGGCTCGCGTCGGCTAATCTACGGCAGGTTATGCGAAAGCATGTGATTATGTCATCTGTCCCCCTTATTTTAACGTCTCTCAAACCTTTTGATGAATTCAATGCTCATTGCTTTGGACGCAATGGCTGCCATCACCACATAAAGAGAGCCAATGAATGCCCTGTTGATTGAGTCCATCTCAAAGATTTATCATTGAGCAGGTCAGGCCTGTACTTGGGTATCTTGGTCTATCCATCTATCCCCTCTATAGATGTGCCAGCTACCCCCCAGAGGGCCTAAACACGGCCGGAGACCAACCTAGCCTGTGAAAAATGAAAATCTCATCATGTCGCTTCCCAACGCCGCCAGATGGTCGCCATCAATCCGATTAAGACCTTCTCGCTGATAGCCCGGTCAGTTCAGTGTCTTCCAATAGGCGGTCATGACTGTGGTTGCTTGACAGCTCGGTGCTGGGGCCGTCCCAGACGCATCGTCGATCATCCGGCCAACCGACGAGGCGCGCAAAGCGAGAAAGAAGTAAAGAAAGAAGAGAAAGACAAACGAAAGGAGAAAGAAGGAGCCGTTCATGTCTGTGAGCAGTGTCTCTGAATAGCTGGAGAACCTGTCCTTTCCCGATCGTGAAACAATCGGATGACCAAATCCGATCCGATCCCAACTTCGATAGGATCGAATATGATCCTGGACCTCCCATATCCCAGCCTTTAGCGGCCTCGACTAACGAGAGATGAAATAGAAGAGAAGGCTATGCCCAAAGGCATGCGATGCTTCCCGGAACTGAATTCAGTTCCGGCGAGGAAAGGCGCGGCGCAGAGTGCGCTCCATGGCGGCCAGCTCACGACGGGCCAGATCGCGCAGGGTGAGGTTATCAAACTCCTTGCCGCTTGGCAAGTTGAGCTCATACCACAGGTAGCCAAAGTACAGCTTGGTCATGGCGCCCTTGGCCTGGATCTCGTACTGCTCGTTAAGCGGCTTGCGATAGACGGAGCGGGTCGTCTCCTCGCGGATAATGGCAATGTACCACTCGAGCACGTCGAGCGGGATGCCCGGCTTGGGGCACAGGGCGTAGAGATGGGTCCACATGTCGGCGAAGCGCGGCTGGTTGAACATGCGTGCGCGCTCTTCGGGCATCTGAGCGACAACGGCAATGTTGTCCTTCTGCACGACCGAAAAGCCCGGGCAGAGCATCGCGGCCGTGACGAGGCGCTTGAGAAGCTGCACGTTGATGGTCGCCTCGTGGAAACGGTTCGGGCGCTCAAGGCTCTGCGTGAGAAGCCAAATGAGCTTGCACGTGGCGTCGTAGACGGCGTAGCGCTGCCTAACCGTGATGTGGTTTGACATGTACCAGGGTAGCTTCTTGAGAGTGGAAATCATGCACTCGTAAGGACGCTGGGGACACTCCTTTGAGTAGGGCGACTGCAAGGGTAATCGAGATTGGTTAGCAGTGAGCACAGAACTACAACTTGGCTAACAACACAAATGGACACTTACACGTTGGGGAATTTCGACGTGCTTCACCAGCATGGTCATCTCCTCCTCGGTAACAAAGCCCTTGAACGTCTTCCACGGCTCGCCAGGAACCGGCGCCTGGATGACAGGCTTGGAGCCTTCCCAAAAGACTCCCGCAGCGAGTGGGAACAGATCCTTCATGAGAGCCGACTGGCTGGAAAGCTGAACATCGACAGGGCGGTCGCCCAAGCGAGCAAGCCGTCCCCTCTGGACGTTGATCTGGTGACGTTCCACGGCTCTCATGGCGTCAGCAAGACTCATAAACTCCACGTACGCATCCTGAGTCTTGCTGCTGACCCGCTCCATGATGATGTGAACCGGCTCCTGGTTGTCATTGAGGATTTTAGAATTGCGCCCGAGGAAAGCAATGATTTCTGCGCGTCGCGTACCGAACGGGATCTAGAAAATGAGTACTCAGATTAGTCACCGTCCGAAATGAAAAGCTATAGAGACACAAAGCAGAGGCACAAAGATGTTCGATTGACTCACGTTCTTGATCTTGACGACACCATACGAGACCGGTCCAGCTTGGGTGCAGCTCTCAATAAAGGGGAAATTATCTGGGCTCAAAGCAACGTCCTGGGTCGGCAAGCCGGTCGGGCCGTCAGTGAGACTGTTGAGGTGCTCCGAGCGGAGCGCACGAATCTCTGCGGGGACCGGACCGTAGTAGACCGGGTTAGGGGCCAGATCAAGCTGGTTATCCTCGGAGATGGACGAGAGGACCATGGCCTGCGAGACGGGAGCAGGAGTAGGGGCCGGAGCAGCACGCCTCGTCAAACCAGGCGAAAAGAAAGGATCCGCATCAGATGCAGCCGAGTGAGAAGCAGCCTGAGCACTGTTATCTTTGGGTTTGGCATTCTGGCCAAGGTTGAAGGCTGGGGGCGGCGGCAGATACGAAGGACTGCCAGCGGTGCGCGGAGCAAAGTTGCGTGGCTCGGTCTGATTGTAGGCTTTGTACTGGATCGGCGAACCGGGAGTCTCGTCCATGTCATTGTCGACTTGCTTAGGCACGTGCGAAGGTGTCGCCTGCGGGTTCAGGCTGACCTGCTGAAAGCGCTGGTCCAGAGTCAGACCAGGAGTGTCGGCCGGTCCTATGGGGGATTGGATCGCATGATAGCCAGGAGCGGTGTTGTATGCAGCTGGAGCAGCACCATACTGGTAGGCGATAGCAGTGCTGCTCTGAGGATAATGGGTCATGGATCCATAAGAATTAGACGCCGTATAAGGATCCGAGACATAGGCATTGCCGCCGGGGTTATAGTAGGCGGTCGACTAGTATTTCGTCAGTTTCATCGCTTCGAACAGTCTAAGGAATGCAATCAATTTACCGCTGTGTCAGTCTGGTTCTGCATGGGAGCTGTCTGGTAAGTCGCAGCACTGAATCCATTCACGCTGGGTTGCTCAATGCCGCCGGTAGCATGCAAATTCCCAGTCTGTGACTTCATGTTAACGATCGAACGGTTGTTAACGCCAGAGCCAAAGCAACAGGAAACCAATGGATTATTGGCAGCGCTTGATTTGTACCAAGGCATCGCTGAAATCACTCACATAGGCGCCTGCGGCAGCAGACGCGTTGCAATCGGAAGGGCGGCCGGTGCCGATGGGTGCCATATTGCCGCCATGGTTGGGGGTAGGCGGATTGCCAACAGGAGTCGACTCATTCAAGTTCTTGCTGGCCGCGCCCATCATGGCCGGTTTGTTGCCATCTTCCTGGGCAAAATCGCAAAGACTGACACCACCACCGGCGTAATCGTAGTCGTCGGAATCAGTAGAGCCGGCCGAACGAAGAGCAGCAAAGCGGTTGTACTCGTAGCCTGCCTTGCGGGTGCCGGCACTGTTACTCGCCATCTTGAAGGGCAACCTGAACTGGTCGGCAGGTAGCAGCCAACGATCCTGGCTCTATAATGAATTAACATCAGTCAAGCCGAACTCGCGGAGATGGTGAGGAAATGAGAGAAGTCGAGTGAAAGAAAGCGAGAAAGATCCTAGGAAACTGAAAAAAATGGAAGTCGCGAACTTCGTTTACTTTCCCCTTTCCAAACTGAATGAATGAGGACGCGGGAGTCCAGGATGAGAGGGTTCAGGCTTAGCAAAGCAGGGTCAAGGCAACCAGAAAAGCAATTGCCAGGCCGCAACAGAAGGGGAGAAGGGAGTTGGGGGATCGGGGATCGGGGAACTAACTGGCGCGTGAATTGCGAGAGCAGTGCCTTATTTGCTAGGTCGGCTGATGGAGAAAGACGGGGATATTGGCTCATGGAAGGGAAATGGGAAGACAAGTCCAGGCTTAATACAGGTAATTGGGAGAAAATTCGAGGAAGAAAATAATAACTTACTCGACTCTGTTCCGTCTGGTTCGTGGTATGGAATTGGAGGAATCTTGAGCGAGGATTAGACTGGAGCAGTTTCGATGGTGAGGAAACTTGAAATTGAAAAAACACCTAGGTTTTGGGTGGATGGGAAGAAAATCGAGTATAGGTCGTAGAAATGAGAGGTTAAGAGTGTAAAAAAGAGGAAAGCACTCGATTCGTGTCAATGATGAAGAGATGACCCCAAGTGCGAGTGGGAGGAGGGTGGGCGAGAGACCAGCACTTCTCTGTGATCCCAAAAGCGAAGGATGTTCGTCCTTCGCGGGGCAATCGATAGATTAGAGGGGACAGCGGAGGAGATAGGATGAGAGGGATAGACTGGTAGATTAGGTTTTGTCTGATACCATGAGGATGAAAGAGCCCAGTATGAAGCATGGTTGAAAGAATAGAGAAGAGACCGGAAAGTGACTTACAACGAGTTGAGGCGACGTGATAGGAATCAAGCTCTCGGTCTTCCGATGTTAAGTGTTTGAAAATGGAGAGGAGGAGGATGGAGGAGAGAACGAGAGATGAAAGCTTGAAGCGCTTGATCGCAAAGGGATGGGAGGGATTTGCCCTGATAAAGCAATCTAAAGCCAAACGTGCTGGTGACTAAATGTCTGGTGAGCAGATCAACGCTATACATTGCCGACCGTTGTGTAGAGATGGGATGGAAGCCAGCTCCTGAATAGCAAATTGAGACGATCAGTACTTAGGCAGCGTGACATGAGGAGAGCAGACCTACAAAATCCAGAGCCCTTGAATCTCTGATACACATTGGTAGAAAAAAGAAGAAGAGCTTATACTCTGGAGGATTATCATTCATCACTCAGTTCAAGTTTCGAATCTGACCGGTGAGGACTTCCCATGCGGCGAGTCTGGCAACCTTGTCGGTCCTCCCCTTCGCTGCCCTCGCTTGGAAGTGTCAGCCAAATCCAGTATCACTGGTCTCAGCCTACCCAAGTAAGTGACGTGGATCATGGATAATACAGCTTCTATAAGGCCAGTTTTCAGCTTGCTGTTGAAAAAATGCATTGGGAGAGCTAGGGCGGTGGCATGGCTAGAGCTATGGACGGACGCCGGACGGCAGTGGTTGAGGTCTACGTTGGTCGAGACATGAATGTCTCGCTTTACGGTCTGGACATAGCAAGAAGCTCGAATACCATGCAACTAAAGCACGGGCACATATCCGCCAGAGGCTTCGTCAAATGACGCTACCAAATATTGCACTTGGGCCTCTGCTCACGGATGGGTGCACCTGCTCTGAAAAGGTGAACAGTAGATCCGTGTATCTTGGATTATGTTGATGACCGAGGAAGTGCGGTTTCCCCTGGTGAATCAGCATAGCGTTCCATGGCACCCTGAGCCGCTGTGTTCGTGGCGTCATGTCGTAGATCTAACTTAGTGAGGGAGAACAGTAGTCGATTTGGAGTTCACTTTGACACGGCGTGTTTGCTCAACATCTGGTAGGCTCTAGTCAGGCGTACGACAGCCGTAATCAGGGGCCTCAAGGGTTGTTGCAAGTCCATGATCCCTGCAGGCTTGTCAGGTAGGCGCCTGGCAGAAACAAAGCCCTTTGACTGTACGGATATCACTTGGACAGATCGCAAGACTGAGTTCGGAAAAATGGGGCTTTCGATTCTGGAGATGCGTTGACAGCATTCCCTTCAGGGGCTCTCTGCGCGGTTGTGCTGGCCGACAGCCCGGGATTCATTCTGTCCTTGCTCATCTAGTTTCGGAAAGGAACACCAGGAGGAGTTCCTGGGACTCGGGTAACTCTGCAGATTCATAAAGCGAGCTGCCCTTGCCTGATGTTTAAATGCATATATGGTTGCCTTGTCTACCTGAATAGCCTGCTTGGCTTAGTCGAACTAGGGGCGAGTCAGACCGAGATATGCGGTAGGCTGAATATCGAGGACATAATCTTACCGGTGTCAAGAACGACTCAGCCACAAAGCGAGCCCGCGCATTCAACTGGCAGGGAAGTTAGCCCCGACTGTTGGCCACTCAGAGGGCAGGAAACGCCATACGAATAGCTTCATTTCTGAAATTTCCTTATCCACCTCCTCCATAAATTGGATAATAAAGTCTACCAGCTTGTGCTTCAGCATCTCCTCGGTGTGGAAGTTGGTGATCAGGAACGAGATATCGTAGCCCTGCCAGGAGGCGTGTCAGCTTGGACACGGAGAATAGCAAGGTTGCGCAAGCGTTCAGACCTTGATAGGCTTTCTCCGCAGAATAAAGAAGGACTCTGCACGCTGTGTTAAGAAGCGGGTAAACTTGTGCACCAAGATATGCTCAATCTCGTCGGCCTGCTTGATCTTGATACTAATGCGTATGCTGTTTATGCTTGGCTCGATGAGCACGCGCTCGTTCTCGTTGCGGGCGATTGTCAACGGTGTCAAGAGCACCTCGGGAGATGTGCGCGCCTCAACCTCGGGGACATTGTGCCGCTCTGCCGTCTGGGATGCGAAGTTGGAGAGACAGAGGGCAGCCGTCAGACTGCTCCGGACGGCCTGGAGATATGGGCGGAGCGATTGCGACTAACAGCGAACACCAGTGTTAAGATCAAGATTTTGATAGTTGCAGGAGCTTCGAGCCTTACCATAGTGCTGATGCTGAAACTGTGCCCTTGACGTGATGTGGTGGCTAGCACTGCACTGCTGTCGTCGTTCTCGCCTTGGATATGTCGTGTACGGAGGTAGTTGTGGTATCCTTGGCACCCAGCCCATCAGCACGGAAAGAGGCGGGGCACAAGGCGCCATCTGGTATACGCCGCATTATGTAATCCCGCTAAGCACGCCAAGAGAATGATGAGCAGGGACGTGGGTTGGGCTCTACCGCCTTTATTAGTGCTGCAACCCCGCGTCTTCTGTTCCGTTTCACAGTGGAATTCCCAGACTGACGACGAGCTTGGTTGCCTTGGGGAAGCACGCCACCAGATAAAACACTGTGATAATTTTCGGGTGCCGCTGGTTTTTCTTTCGTTTCCTGTTCCTTTGCTATCGACGATCGCTACAGAGATCCCAAGTTCAAGATGGCAACAGTTAACGGTACATGCCCACCCACCTACCCTCTTCTACCCCTCCGTTTCTGTTTTCGCGGTCTCTAACTGACCCGATTGGCGATTAGTGGTCATCAAGCATCAAGGCAAGAAGTACGATGTCGAAGTCGACACTACTTCTACCGGCGAGGTTCTCAAGTACCAGCTTTACAGCCTTACGGGTGTTGAGCCGGACCGACAGAAGATCCTTGTCAAGGGCGGCCAACTCAAGGATGACACTGACATGAGCAAACTGGGCCTAAAACCCGGCCAGGTCATCATGATGATGGGAACTCCTGGGGAAGGCGGTGGCGCGATTGTGCGGCCGACAGAAAAGATCAAGTTTGTCGAGGACATGACCGAAGCCGAGGCAGCCCAGCAAGCCGGCGCCACACCCGCAGGCCTGGTAAACCTCGGCAACACTTGCTATCTCAACTCGACTCTCCAGGCGCTACGCTCCATTCCAGAGCTTCAGGATGCGCTTGCGAAGCACCAACACACATCCATGTCGGAGATTCCGCAACTGGATCTCACCAACCAGTTGAAGGATCTTTTCAAAGACATGTCAGAGACGCAGGGTGGCATGCCCCCTTTCACTTTTCTGAACGCTCTTCGGACGACATTCCCTCAATTCGCCGAGCGTTCCAAGAAAGGCCCGGGCTTTGCCCAGCAAGACGCCGAAGAGGCATGGTCTCAGATTGTCTCCCAGTTGAGACAGAAGCTGAAGTGGAGTGATGCGAGCGAGGGCGAGGCCGCCAAGGCAACTTCGTTTGTCGACAAGTACATGTCTGGCGAGTTCTCTAGCACGCTTGAGTGTGACGATCCCGCGGCGCGTGAGGGTGGCGAGCAGCCTATCACAACCACCGAGCCATTTCTCAAGCTCAACTGCCACATTGGCAATCAGACTGCCCACCTGAGGGATGGCCTTATCGAAGGTCTAACCGAAAAGATCGAGAAGAAATCCGAGGTCCTGGGGAGAGACGTGACATACACCAAAACCTCCAGGATCTCCCGGCTACCAAAGTATCTCACGGTGCACTTTGTGCGCTTTTTTTGGAAGCGCGATGTTCAGAAGAAGGCCAAGATTATGCGCAAGGTTACGTTCCCGCAAGAACTGGATGCCGTTGAGTTCTGCACGGACGAGTTGAAGAAGGCGCTCGTTCCGGTCAGGGACAAGGTGCGGGAGGTGCGCAAGGATGAGGAGGATATCGAGCGGGCCCGGAAGCGGCGGAAGAAGAACCCCATGCTGGATGGCGAGGCGCAAGGAGAGAAGAAGGAAACCAGTAAAAAGGACGACAAGAAGCCGGCAGGATCAGCCAACGGCGATGTTGAGATGACCGAGGCGTACAAAACCGATGCGGAGTTTGAGGCGGAGAAGGATGCTGCGCTCATCGCTGCCAAGAAGGAGCTCAACGCGCTGATCGATCCCGAGCTCCGCAAAGATGACGGCGCTAACCAATCGGGTATCTACGAGCTCCGGGCCGTCATTACCCACCAGGGCGCCAGCGCTGACAGCGGGCATTACACGGCATATGTTAAGAAGACCGCTCCGAAAGACCCCGTGACGGGCAAGGTCGGTGAGGAGGACGGAAAGTGGTGGTGGTTCAACGACGATAAGGTTTCCGAGGTGACATCGGACAAGATTGACGGGTTAGCGGGAGGCGGCGAGTCACACTCTGCCCTCATCCTCTTGTACAAGGCTATCCCTCTTCCGACTGCTGAGGGTCTTGACCAGTAAGGGAGTCGGGGTGCCGATACGGCTTAGAGGCGCAGCATTGTCGTTTGCTATCACCGGCGCATTGGAATTGTCGGAGACATGGAAGGGTACGGACAACAAAATCACGGGCATCGCTAGATCGGTCAAGGCATCTGCGTTATGTTAGACAAGCACGACAGATAAGAAGGATTTGTTGGTTCCGAACCCTGGTATCTCGTGGTGCGACATGTCTGGCACAAACCACCTGCATTGGCGTTCATTTGGATATGTGGATGTGGATTAGTCGTTGGATGCACATGCTGACGGAGCCATTTGTCCCTTTTCCTCCTGGTGCCGCGGAGAGGATGCTAATCTTGGAGTTTCTCGCTCGCCTTGTGGCTTCGCTCACAGGCTCTATTTTCACTCAACCACCGCCACCAACCGTCACTTCAACTGCAGCCCTGTCACCTCTTCTCTCTACTATTAACTGTCCCACTAGGCTGCTTCCCTTCACCAGCACTGTGACCATCATCATCACCACCTCCACCAGCAGCGGCAGCGGCAGCAGCGGTGGCCTCCATCCTCGCTCGCAGCATAGCTAACTTGGCTTCGATCTCGCCCTTTTGCCTCAGCAAATCCGCCTTGCGCTGCTCAAGGATAGAAACCTTCTCGTCTATGCTGGCCTCCTGGATCCTTTGCTTTTCCTGTTGATGTTAGGGGCAGGGGGGATTTGTTAGCGAGTGATTGAGTGGCTTGAGTGAGTGACAATCCCACGACGAAGCAGGCATGTCAGGCCGGAGAAGATGGAATACAAATGGAAGAGAACGAAGACAGAAGATATGGAAACGTACAGCCTTCCACTGCTGTTGTGTCTTGAGTCCCGCTCCGTAGATGGTCCCTGTAATGGTCACGGCCGCGAAGCACACTGTCCAGAGAATGCGTTTCCATTTCGGAGGCGGGTCGCGCTTGGGTAAGGGGTTGCTCGCGGGCTGCTCAGCCGGTGTTGTGGGGGGTCTTGCTGTTGCTGTTCTAGGGGTGGGTTGTGTTGCCGGTGTGGTTGGGGGCTTTGCTGTTCGCTTGGTGGATGCATATCTGGTGGCTCTGACAGCTGCTCTAGAGTTCAAGATGCAGAAGGTTGTGGCAGTTTTTGTTGCTGCTTGCATCGCGGTTGAAGGCATGACGACGGTGAGAGCGTAGCGTGTCCCAAGCGGGCCGCTGCTCAGCAGTTTCTAGTCCTAACCCTGGTAGCGAGATATCGGCACAGTAATATGCCGTCGCGGCCTTCGCTATCCGTTAATGTCGTAGTCTTCCGTCTTCCGAACGCTGGCACTTTAAGCGGCAACAATGCGCGACAGCTGGACTCAAATGAGGCCAGTCGGTAGGCAAAGTTGAGATTGCGCCGCTTATTATTGTTGTCCTACCCCGACTGGTGTGCAAACTCGTTTGGCTTCACATTTCCTCGCTCAACCTGGGTGTAGTTGTTTTCCCGTCGCCTTCGTCCACTGTTATGTCGCAACAACCGCATGAAGAAAAGTCGATGTCGGTTGAACACCTGCGGAGCTTGACGTAACGGCACCGGGAGGACAGGGGTACGGCATTAGCTCGAAATTCGTTGGCTAGGCACGACCGCAGACCCACAAATGCTCCGGGTTAGGGATACCGTAGTTCCCATGCCTTGGAGCCGGGCAGACTGTTCAGGTTGTCACTGTAACTTTCACTCAGGCAGCAAGCACCTCACTCCCGCGGTCTGAGTAATCCCCTTGCATGTTGCAGTGGTTATTTCATCGGTACTCCGTATCTTAGCTACAGGGGATCTCTCAATGCCCACACGGCAAGACAACATCCGGAACATTGTCTGATGAGATAGTTCACAGCTTCACGTTCCCTTTATTCGCTTCAAGGTTCGCTGCAAGTACAGGACATCCCTTCCTTGCCTCAGCTTGCATCTTTACAGGACTGGTATGATTCATGCTCTACTTTATGTGCAAGTACAAGCACCCTCGTATGCTAACGATTCGCTTATCCAGCGATTGCAACCGTCATCCACTTCCAAGTTCTGTCACTGCAACAAACCCACATGAGGGGGGAAAGACTGCATGAGAGAAGAGCCGGGCTTTCACAGTCTATTACGCATCGAGGAGAGCTAGCCGTTTGGAAATATCAGCTACTCATCCTCACGTCCCTTCTTATTAGTATTCGGTCCGCTCTTCTCCATCAAAAACCTTTCAACCGCGTATCGACCTGAGTAATCGTCTCCTAGCATGTCGACGCCACGAGTCTTTATTGTCCGCCACGGCGAGACCGAGTGGTCACTCAACGGCCGCCACACTGGTGCCACCGATATTCCCCTGACGGCCACCGGTGAGAAGCGAGTGGTGGCAACGGGCAAGGCATTGGTCGGTAACGACCGCTTAATCGTTCCCAGCAAACTGGCCCATATGTAAGTCACATCTTGCTCTCCCAAGAAAGGAACGATCCCACGTTTCATGGTGGACATGGATGTTGGTGGCCGCACCTTCCGCTTGGTTCCAATATGGATAGCTCGGATCCGATGTCCATGTGATGCGCCGTTCTATCGGTGTGTACACCAATCCCGGATGCATGGATTGACCGTTTGGATCCTTCGGCCATTCCTACGATCACTAGTTCTACCCCCTCCTCTGTCCTAGACCGGCGCCAGAGCTCGCCACTGAACAAAGTCACAGCTACGTATCCCCGAGACGCAGAGCACAGCGGACTCTAGAACTGCTCAACCTGGCCTGTCAGGATCAGCTGCCCTGGAAAGCCCAAGGCGAGCCTGCCTGCACAGGCCTGCCATGCACGGCCAGGGTTGAGGTCACCCAGGATGTCCGCGAGTGGGACTATGGCGACTACGAGGGCATCACCACGCCCCAGATCAGGGAACTTCGGAAGCAGCAAGGACTAGATCCCGACTGGGACATCTGGCGAGATGGCTGTCCAGGAGGGGAGTAAGTCCCCCTCCCTCTCAGAGCCTCGCTCCTCCTGTGGCGGCTTCCTGCCTGCGCCTCGAGCATACATTGTACGGTACAGTATTGACCACCGCTTATAGGAACCCGGCCGACATCACGGAGCGCCTTGACCGACTCATCAAGGAGATCCGAGACAAGTGGCACGCCCCCGTCATGGGCAAGCCCAAGGGAGAGGCAGGGAATGGAGACGTGCTGGTTGTGGCCCACGGGCACATCCTCCGTGCCTTTGCCCAGCGCTGGGTGGGCAAGTCCCTAGGTGACGGCCCCAACTTTCTGCTCGAGGCTGGCGGTGTTGGGACGCTGAGGTGAGACGCGCGCATTGTCCGTGACGTGGATGTCCTCTGCTAAACTGCCCTGTCCTTTCTAGCTATGAACACCATAACATTGATGAGCCCGCCATCCTCTTGGGAGGTGCCTTTACGGTGGATCTTGCTAGTGTATAGGCCCTCTAGCCATGAAGTGATGACATCTTTTGGCTGTGGGAACAACTGCCGGCTTGTTGATCATGTCTGTTGACCATGGCCATTCTGAGACCCTTTGCACTTCCTCTATGTAGTGGTTATTGATTGGCGATGCTCAGAAGTGTAGAAGAGGTCAGGCACAGGATTTTAGACATAACTTTCTAAACAATACAATTCGCCTCTGTATTGTTCTTCCTCATACTACCGAGTTGGCGCCTCAAAAATACCTACCCATGGAAGCAGCGAAAGCAGGGGCATCATGATTTGATGATTTATGGTTTGAATATACATCTGCGATATATATCTATAGTTGCTCGTGTTGCATTGATCTCAGCTCCTTCGCATGTCATTATCGTATCCTATATTCCAGTTCACATTCAGGCGTCCCTCACTTCGAGTCCAATCATGCCTTAGTGCCACGGGCAAAGAAGATTCTTCTCTTAATGGAGGGCTGGCCTTCGGCTTGCCTGAAGAACACAACGGCGGCCTCCTCGAGCGCAAAGTCTTTTCCAACCCCTGCCTCTTCAAAGATGCGCTTGATCTGTTCTTCAGAGAAGCCATGGTGCGTCACAGTTGGTGTGGCGGCATGGGAAGTCTGTAAATCCATAGTAAGCAGCCGCCGCGGTCAGCTCCCGGAGCGCAAATACTATGAGAGGTACCCAATCTCCCTCGGATGTCAGTGTACTTACGTCCATTTTTTCATGAGGCAGGAAATCTATAATCACAAGCACGCCTCCTGTCTTGAGCCGCGCTGCCAAACGCCGCGCCGCTAGCGCTGGGTCATCAAAGTGATGGAATCCGAGTCCAACGGCCGCCACGTCAAAGTCGAAGAACTCGGGCGAGGCAAAGGCAGAGGGTGTGGGATCCTCCGGGCTGCAGAGGTTACCTTGATATGCGCGCATTTCGGAAGGGGCAATGCCCTGACGGTTAGCTGTTTAGGAATGGCCCTTCCATGGCTTATTTGCGGGAGGATCTCACTTGATTTTCGGCCCGCGTATTGTAGGCGGCTACCTGAAAATGGAGTTAGTCGTTCTCCTCAAACGGATAGGGCAGTGCTTGAGAAGAGACCCTACCATGTTCTCTGACAGGTCAATTCCAACGCATTGCGTCGTGTAAGGCGCGAGAGCCTGTGAGAGGGGAGAAGTGAGAGGTCAGGTCAGGCCAGGACTAGAGGACAGTGGCGGCGCCTCTTACCCTGGAGACTGTTGTCGTGCGTCAGTTAGCGACGTGAGAATGGTAAGTAAGGGGACAGAAGGGAATAAAAGACTGTGTTTGAGATGACATCTCTGAGGCCTCGATCTACCAGGTTAAGGCAGTCGCGTAGCCCCTTAAAGGAAAAACAGAGAGGAACATCGAGATTTGGACAGAGCAGAGAACGACTTACCAACCCCAGTTCCGCAGGCGTAATCCAACAACCTCACGGTTTTCTTCTGGCCCGACACGCCTCCTGATTCGGCATCTTTGCCGTCGAGGTTATCGTCACCATCATCAACCTCATCAGCCCAGTCGACCCCGATGAAGTCCAGCCTAGCTCGGATCTCCTCGATGATCTGGTCCAGCGTCTTCCCGTGCTTGCTGTCGTAGGAAGCAGCCTCCTTACTGAAAACACAGTCAGTTAGGTCTCTGATAGTCTCTGATAGTTATTCAATACAGTGAGGAAGCGGTTGAGTTGTTAGGATCTCTCAAAGCTCATCGAGTTGACTTTGTCGCCAGGTGTTCCCTATCTGTTCGTGGTATGGGTTCCTAACACAAAAGCCCGGGCCCGTCCACTTACTTGAAGTATTCCTTGTTATGCCCCGACGCGGAAGCCATAATTGAGTGGTAAGCTGCGCAGGCGTTGATGGTCCTTAGATTCGAGGGTCTGCAGATGTAGCTCAGTTCTACCTTCGTGTTTCCTCCTTGCTGGAGAGCAGTTAGCAATCGTGCTGCGCCCAAGGACAGAAACAAAAATAAATTCCTCAATTTTCGCATGCTGGCATGCTTACCTAGCCAGGAGAGTTTTAGCCTTGTCGTTCCTTCCCTTGGACATTCAAGCATTTGAAGCTTTAAATACCTACAATCTCGTTTCCTCAGCGGAAAGATATCGGTCACTTTTAGCTCAGGTTTGGGGCATCGACAACTTTTTAACGTAGCTACAAGACCCGCAACGACCTCGGGGAGAACATAAACGTCCGGGCATAGTAGCGAAATGTCTCCTCGAGAAATCCAACTTTAGATGGTTGGCAAGCTCTTTGATCTAATGTCACCGACTTCCAGATCCTATCCTATTCTACTAGAGTATAGCGATTTCTCAGTATGGCAAAGTAAGTGCATACTGAAGATACTGGTTATACCAATACTTGCGCGTTACTTAGTAACAGGCCCACACACAGTCCGCTATGTCATCGTACATAGTGCATATAGCCCGCCATATTGGTCAAAGATGCGTTCCCAGCCGAAAACTCAGATCAAAGCCCCCTCCCTACCTGCGATTTTAGCCAGTCTTGGTGCCGGCATGGCAACCTGTGTCCTTTTTGCCTTTGTGCGGACGGCAGACGGCTCGAGACGAAAAAGGGACCGGCCGCGCGAGCGTCGGTCTGAGCGCGACGGACACGGGCCGGGAGGCGGGACGTTGCGGCCTGAGATGAATTTCTACTTTCGAGGGTTTGCTTACGGACGTACTGCACCGTAGGTACACTGTTCTGTATCCGTATTGTATGTACATGTACACCTTCCTACTAGTAGGTACCTGATTTTGTGTGAATCCAACTTGACGTTTACATACACATAAGGGGGTGCGGATTAATACCTCGTAGTTACGAATACTAGGGTACGAGATGAAGCGAAAGCAAAAACAGAAACTGGAGTAAGATCCTCCTGGGACATGGGGGACATGTATGTACGGAGTACGGATACTCAGCTCGCAAACGGTCAGGTCATTCCAAGTTTGCGCCTCCACATGGTGTCCACACCTAAGCGCAGCAGAAGTGCGCGACTGTTGCTGAGACTAGAACCATTGGCTCTCGCAGTGCCAGTTCGCGCTCCTTGGGTTGAGTTAGATGGTGTACTGAGATAATCAGCCGGATCCAATTGCCTCTGCTCCGTTCCTTCAGGTTCAGGTTCTAACCCACGCTAACCCTGTCGAGAAATCATGGCGTCCCACCCAGCAATGTGGAACCGCGAGAAATTCCCGACGAGCAAATTAGCGCACTGACGGCGCGGCCACGAACGATCGCAGTGACGATCCCATGGGCAATGCACGACCCCGCTTCGGTCCGCCCGCAGTCGCGCAGTCGGAGACAGTCACAGGAAAAACCGCCCGGGGTCAGGGCAGGGGGTTGATGCCAGGCCTGGGCTAGTCTGTAATTATTGAACGCCCTGTATTGTATGGATCATACAGATTAATACGGTAATTAATTGGTAACCTGGTAACAACGCCGAATTCAATCACGGGTCAATTTGGAAATGCCAGTGTCTCGCATCATGCGCAAAAGATTTTTGTGCGACATCCCAACCGGATTTTCGATCAGGTATCCGCGATGCCTTTCGAATGGCTCACACAGATGGCTGCAAGCGAGCAAAAAGGCAAGAGGCTTGTTGTCGGTTAGATGAGGGCACCGGCAGGCTAAACGGGAGAGCGATCCTGTGATCAGTTGGATTGCGGTGCCCTGCGTTTCATGCCGCAGCGGGTGGTTGGACCAACGGCACCCCGCGGTACGTCGGGGTCCCACGATGGAATGTGCGCGCCGCTCTTCACTGGGTTTTCTAACCGAATGTCTGGTGTGGCCAGGCTTTTGATGATGTGCTCATGCGGGGTCTCACGAGACTAATTGGTCTTGCACCCGTTCGGGCCCGCCCGGGACGGGAATGTCAAGATCCCCCATCCCGTTGCCTGGCGCATTCATCATCAGAGCAGGATGTTACAGTGCAGCGGGCAGTACCTGCCCGGCCCATCATTGGCTCGCAAGACGTCGCAGTGCAACCCTGGCCAGCCACAAAGCGGGTTCCAGCGGATCTCTCTGGCAGTTTCTTGGGCCGTAAGAGGCGTCGCGTCATGAGAAACTGGGGTGCTTGGCCGTTGGGCCGAGCCGAGACGAAGGGTATCTGATAAAAAGGAGGGCATAGACCTCCCAAGCTACTGTTGTGCGACGTAAGGCCTGGATGTCCGAGAGATCTAACCATCCCAACAATCTACCTCCTCCTGGGAGGATGTGAAAGCCGGGCGTGGCAGAGGGCCTGGGCAGTGAGGGACATGACAGGTAGCCCACCGAGCCTAAAAATGCGAGGGGCGAAGACTAGGGCGAGAGTCTCACCGCCGTTTGGCACCTCGAGAACCTTAGTTGCCTGGCTCCCCGTCAATGGCCCATGCAAACCTGGCGCAGGACTCGGCGCGAAACCTGGGAAAGTCCGTTGCGCTGGCTAGATGGAGCCTGCATACCACCGGATCACTGAATTGGCATTGCCGCCGCCAACTAAGCAATGATACCTCGATCAGCCCGATCAAGAAGGCCAACGGTGAAAGCATGGTGTCAGTATGGTCAACTGGGGCCGCCTGGCTTCATCCATGATCGTTTTTGCGCCAGCTTTGAGTTGGATAGGTAGGCTTCTCGATGAGAAAACGACTGCCATAGCTTGATTTTGTTCCGTGCAGGACATCGATTCGCGTGCATCATGCCAACGCATCCCCTAGTTGAGGTTTGCTGTTCGGCAGCGATAGCGGCATTTCGGGACCATGACGAGAGCTACCGCATATCTGGTGGTGCTGCCAGGCTGCCAATGAAGCGCGTACCCGGGCCACGCCCCACTTATTCTTCGAGTTCGGAACTCACCCCTCAGGATAAGTGGTGCTCCACACCTCAACGGGCAGGTCAGCTCAACAGGCAATTTTACCATTTCTTTGGCTACAGTTGACGAAAACTACCTACAACTGGCTCAATTGAATGGTAAAAAAGTTATGTGTAGATGGGTATATGTATTAGGAAGCTAATTGACTATATTTACCTGGCCTGTAGGGCCTAGGGCGGTACTATTGTATGGCTCTTTGATCCAGGTTCTGAAAACTATACTACCTACCTTACTACTACGTCTACTACTATAACATAGAATTAGCTGATTTGTATGCTTATAATGGTTGTAGTAAACAGGGGTATATATTAGGAAGTAAAATGACTATATTTGATAAGCCTATAGGGCAAAGGCATTGACGTCGTGTGACGAATCTCGGTCCCCTACCACTGAAAGGGACTCCTCAGACTGAAGGTTGACTTAGACGGGGTGAGGTTCGGTAGAGCCAAAGGGTCTACAATAAGTGCACAAGCAAGTGTTCACACAGTAGTAAAGACATCTGCTTGCATTGCTTACTGAGGAAGCTATCGTGATGCCCGTAGGCCGTAGAGATCGTGAACTATTGTCACGAACCAACCATACAACTTGGACTGGTGGGGCTATGCAGTAAACCGGAGTACCAATCAGGAACAAGTGCCAAAAGACGCATGGATGCCAGGGGACGCCAGCGAGCGCGAGCGACCATGGTCGCCCATGGACGCCAGCGAGCACGAGCGACTATGGACGCCTATGGTCGCCGGCGAGCACAAGCGTCCAAAGAATAACCAGAAGGAGGAAGCTGTATATAGTTCACGAGATCTACAGCCTACGGGCATCACGATAGCTTCCTCAGTAAGCAATGCAAGCAGTGGTCTATACTACTGTGTGAACACTTGCTTGTGTCAATTGTTGTAGACCCTTTGGCTCTACCGAACCTCACCCCGT